GTGTACATCCCCAATGATACAGTGCGCTACGTACACCCAGATGAGAGCAGGTGACCACACAGTACATACACGTACACAGTCATTTAGTCATTCTGGATACGTTTGTGTGGTATAAATAACACTACACATGTGCAGAAATGTCAAATGTGGCATAGACACTCTCAGAGTTAAAGTTGTATTTGTGTACAGTAATCTGATCTGTGACATTGTTTGTTTTTCATCCATTCAGAAATAACAATGGTCTGATTTGTTTTATTACAGTTTCAGGCCTGGCTCGCTAGTGTAGTTGGCTAAACCTGACTTCACGGTGACCGGGTGAGGAACTCCTTGTGGTGCGGGTTCACGCCCAGGTGTAGGCAGAAAACCCAGATTTACCGTACCTATCATGGAATCAAGGCCGAAGGGTTGCGATATCCATAGTACCGAGCCAAAGGGTTAAGAACTCATGGTTTCTGGATATATTTTCACTTAATGACACACTGTAATTGTAATTTTACAGTGTATGTGTGTCATTGTCACACTATAATTATAATTTTACAGTGTGTGTGTCACTGTCACACTATAGTTATAATTTTACAGTGTGTGTATGTGTGTGTGTTACTGTCACGCTATAGTTGTAATTTTACAGTGTGTGTGTCACTGTTATAATTATTATTACTGTTATTATTATATATTATAATTTCACAGTTTGTGTGTCTGTGTGTCACTGTCACACTATAGTTATAATTTTACCGTGTGTGTGTCACTGTCACACTATAGTTATAATTTTACCGTGTGTGTGTCACTGTCACACTATAGTTATAATTTTACAGTGTGTGTGTCACTGTCACACTATAGTTATAATTTTACAGTGTGTGTATGTCACTGTCATACTATAGTTATAATTTTACAGTGTGTGTGTGTGTGTCACTGTTATTCTTATTATTATTTTTACTGTTATTATTATATATTATAATTTCACAGTTTGTGTGTGTCACTTACACTATAGTTACAATTTTACAGTGTGTGTGTTACTGTCACACTATAATTATAATTTCACAGTGTGTATGTCACTGGCACACTACAGTTATAATTTTACTGTGTGTGTGTTACTGTCACACTATAAATATAATTTCACAGTGTGTGTGTCACTGTCACACTATAGTTATAAATTTACAGTGTGTGTATGTGTGTGTGTTACTGTCACGCTATAGTTGTAATTTTACAGTGTGTGTGTCACTGTTATAATTATTATTACTGTTATTATTATATATTATAATTTCACAGTTTGTGTGTCTGTGTGTCACTGTCACACTATAGTTATAATTTTACCGTGTGTGTGTCACTGTCACACTATAGTTATAATTTTACAGTGTGTGTGTCACTGTTATAATTATTATTACTGTTATTATTATATATTATAATTTCACAGTTTGTGTGTCTGTGTGTCACTGTCACACTATAGTTATAATTTTACCGTGTGTGTGTCACTGTCACACTATAGTTATAATTTTACCGTGTGTGTGTCACTGTCACACTATAGTTATAATTTTACAGTGTGTGTGTCACTGTCACACTATAGTTATAATTTTACAGTGTGTGTATGTCACTGTCATACTATAGTTATAATTTTACAGTGTGTGTGTGTGTGTCACTGTTATTCTTATTATTATTTTTACTGTTATTATTATATATTATAATTTCACAGTTTGTGTGTGTCACTTACACTATAGTTACAATTTTACAGTGTGTGTGTTACTGTCACACTATAATTATAATTTCACAGTGTGTATGTCACTGGCACACTACAGTTATAATTTTACTGTGTGTGTGTTACTGTCACACTATAAATATAATTTCACAGTGTGTGTGTCACTGTCACACTATAGTTATAAATTTACAGTGTGTGTATGTCACTGTAACACTATAGTTATAATTTTACAGTGTGTGTATGTCACTGTCACACTATAGTTATAATTTTACAGTGTGTGTATCTCACTGTCACACTATAGTTATAATTTTACAGTATGTGTATGTCACTGTCACACTATAGTTAAAATTCTACAATGAATGTGTGTGTGTGTCACTGTTATTATTATTCTTATTCTTATTATTACTGTTTTCATTATATATTATAAGTTCACAGTTTATGTGTGTGTGTCACTGTCACACTATAGTTATAATTTTACAGTGTGTGTGTGTTACTGTCACACTATAATTATAATTTCACAGTGTGTGTGTGTGTGTGTCACTGTCACACTATAGTTATAATTTTACAGTGTGTGTGTGTCACTGTTATTCTTATTATTATTTTTACTGTTATTATTATATATCATCATTTCACAGTCTGTCTGTGTCACAGTCACACTATAGTTATAATTTTACAGTGTGTGTATGTGTGTATGTTACTGTCACACTATAGTTATAATTTTACAGTGTGTGTGTCACTGTTATTATTATTATTATTATAACAGTTATTATATATTATATTTTCACAATTTGGATGTGTGTGTCACTGTAACACTATAGTTATAATTTTACAGTGTGTGTATGTATGTCACAATCACACTATATTTATAATTTTACAGTGTGTGTGTGTGTCACTGTTATTCTTATTATTATTTTTACTGTTATTATTATATATTATAATTTCACAGTTTGTGTGTGTCACTGTCACATTATAGTTATAATTTTACAGTGTGTGTATGTCACTGTAACACTATAGTTATAATTTTACAGTGTGTGTATGTCACTGTCACACTATAGTTATAATTTTACAGTTTGTGTATGTCACTGTAACACTATATTTATAATTGTACAGTGTGTGTGTGTCACTGTCACACTATAGTTATAATTTTTACAGTGTGTGTATGTCACTGTCACACTATAGTTATAATTTTACAGTGTGTGTATGTCACTGTCACACTATAGTTATAATTTTACAGTGTGTGTATGTCACTGTCACACTATAGTTATAATTTTACAGTTTGTGTATGTCACTGTAACACTATATTTATAATTGTACAGTGTGTGTGTGTCACTGTCACACTATAGTTATAATTTTTACAGTGTGTGTATGTCACTGTCACACTATAGTTATAATTTTACAGTGTGTGTATGTCACTGTCACACTATAGTTATAATTTTACAGTGTGTGTATGTCACTGTCACACTATAGTTATAATTTTACAGTGTGTGTATGTCACTGTCACACTAAAGTTATAATATTACATATGTGTATGTCACTGTCACACTATAGTTATAATTTTACAGTGTGTGTATGTCACTTTCACACTATAGTTATAATTCTACAGTGAATGTGTGTGTGTGTGTGTGTGCCAGTGTTATTATTATTCTTATTCTTATTATTACTGTATTCATTATATATTATAAGTTCACAGTTTGTGTGTTTGTGTGTCACTATCACACTATAGTTTTAATTTTACAGTGTGTGTGTCACTGTCACAGTATAGTTTTAATTTTACAGTGTGTGTGTCACTGTCACACTATAGTTTTAATTTTACAGTGTGTGTGTGTCACTGTCACACTATAGTTTTAATTTTACAGTGTGTGTGTCACTGTCACACTATAATTATAATTTCACAGTGTGTGTGTGTCACTGTCACACTATAGTTATAGTTTTACAATGTGTGTGTGTGTCACTGTCACACTATAGTTATAATTCTACAGTGAGTGTGTGTGTGTCACTGTCACACTATAGTTATAATTTTACAATGTGTGTGTGTGTCACTGTCACACTATAGTTATAATTCTACAGTGAGTGTGTGTGTGTCACTGTCACACTATAGTTATAGTTTTAGAGTGAGTGTGTGTGTCACTATCACACTATAGTTATAATTTTACAGTGAGTGTGTGTGTCACTATCACAGTATAGTTTTAGTTTTACAGTGTGTGTGTGTGTCACTGTCACACTATAGTTATAATTTTACAGTGAGTGTGTGTGTCACTATCACACTATAGTTATAGTTTTACAGTGAGTGTGTGTGTGTCACTGTCACACTATAGTTATAATTCTACAGTGAGTGTGTGTGTCACTATCACTGTATAAGTATAAGTCTACAGTGAGTGTGTGTGTCACTGTCACAGTATTGTCATAATTCTACAGTGAGTGTGTGTGTGTCACTATCACAGTATAGGTATAATTTTACAGTGAGTGTGTGTGTCACTATCACACTATAGTTATAGTTTTACAGTGTGTGTGTGTCACTGTCACACTATAGTTATAATTCTATAGTGAGTGTGTGTGTCACTATCACTGTATAAGTATAAGTCTACAGTGAGTGTGTGTGTCACTGTCACAGTATAGTCATAATTCTACAGTGAGTGTGTGTGTGTGTCACTATCACAGTATAGTTATAATTCTACAGTGAGTGTGTGTGTCACTATCACAGTATAGTTATAATTCTACAGTGAGTGTGGCAGTTAAAGGATTGGGTGACAGTTCTCCAGCGAGTGTGGCAGTTAAAAGATTGTGTGACAGTTCTTCAACAAGTGTGGCAGTTGAAAGATTGAGTGACAGTTCTCTAACAAGTGCGGCAGTTAAAAGATTGAGTGACAGTTCTCTAACAAGTGTGGCAGTTAAAAGATTGAGTGACAGTTCTCTAACAAGTGTGGCAGTTAAAAGATTGAGTGACAGTTCTCCAACAAGTGTGGCAGTTAAAAGATTGAGTGACAGTTCTCCAACAAGTGTGGCAGTTAAAGGATTGAGTGACATGTCTCCAACAAGTGTGGCAGTTAAAAGATTGAGTGACAGTTCTCTAACAAGTGTGGCTCTTGAGATGATAGTTATCATTGTGTGACATGTGCAGCAGCTAAGTTTTTAATTGTCTCATAAGTGTCACAGCCGAGGCCAATATAAGCTTCCTGTCAGTGGAAAACCTGGCCATACCTAGTGTACTCGTCCACTTTACTGTCAGCATTCAAGGCTGGAGACACCAGAATGATGTCATTACCTGCACTGAGGTTAGGGGTGTTTCACCTGTCTCTGGTAATGTCAGTATTCAAAGCTGGAGACACCAGAATGATGTCATTACCTGCACTGAGGTTAGGGGTGTTTCACCTGTCTCTGGTAATGTCAGCATTCCTATATTTTGTGTCATGTCTCATTTGTCTCTGTTGTTTACTTGACAGATATGTGAAGATATTCCAGAACTTTGACCTGTCCAGCAATTTCTATTTTAGGTAAGAAGATTCACAAATGTGGTTTCCTTGTTGTGTACTGTAAAAATTCACAGATATGGCTGCCTTGTCGTGGGGTGTACAAATTCACAGATATGGCTGCCTTGTCATAGGGTGTGCAGGTTCACAGATGCGGCTGCCTTGTCATGGGGTGTACAGGTTCTTAGATGTGGCTGCCTTGTCATGCGGTGTACAGGTTCACAGATGTGGCTGCCTTGTCATGGGCTGTACAAATTCACAGATGTGGCTGCCTTGTCATGGGCTGTACAAATTCACAGATGTGGCTGCCTTGTCATGGGGTGTGCAGGTTCACAGATGTGGCTGCCTTGTCGTGGGGTGTACAGGTTCACAGATGTGGCTGCCTTGTTGTGGGTGTGCAGGTTCACCGATGTGGCTGCCTCGTCATGGGGTGTACAAATTCACACATGTGGCTGCCTTGTGGGCTGTACAAAATTCACAAATGTGGCTGCCTTGTCGTGGGGTGGGCAGGTTCACAGATATGGCTGCCTTGTCATGGGGTGTGCAGGTTCAAAGATGTGGCTGCCTTCTTGTGGGTGTACAGGTTCACAGATGTGGCTGCCTTCTTGTGGGTGTACAGGTTCACAGATGTGGCTGCCTTGTTGTGGGTGTACAGGTTCAAAGATGTGGCTGCCTTGTTGTGGGCGTATAAATTCACAGATGTTGCTGCCTTGTTGTGGGTGTACAGGTTCACAGATGTGGTTGCCTTGTTGTGGGTGTACAGGTTCACAGATGTGGCTGCCTTGTTGTGGGGTGTGTTCACAGATGTGGCTGCCTTGTGAGGTGTGTTCACAGATGTGGCTGCCTTGCCATCGTGTATGTTCAAGATTCTCACTCACAATTGTTTGTTTGTCTCACAGCTACAACTATGACGTCTCACTCACACATGTGTTGTCTAACAGCTATACAGCTATGACCTTATTGACACATGTTTGTCTCACAGTTATAGCTATGTCCTCACTAACACATGTTTGTCTCACAGCTACAGCTATGACCTCACTCACACATGTTTGACCGACAGCTACAGCTATGACCTCGCTCACACATGTGTTGTTTCACATATACAGCTATGACCTCACTCACACGTTTGTTGTCTCACATCTACAGCTATGACCTCACTCACATGTTTGTTGTCTCACAGCTACAGCTGTGATCTCACTCGCACATGTTTGTTGTCTCACAGCTATAGCTATGACCTCACTCACACATGTTTGTTTGTCTCACATGTACAGCTATGAACTCACAAACACATTTGTTATCTCACAGCTGCAGCTATGACCTCACTCACACACTTGTTGTCTCACAGCTACAGCTTTGACCTCACTCACACATGTATGTTTGTCTCACAGCTACAGCTACGACCTCACTCACACATGTTTGTTTGTCTCACATCTACAGCTGTGACTGCACTCACACATGTTTGTTTGTCTCACATCTGCAGCTATGACCTTACTCACACATGTATGTTTGTCTCAGCTACAGCTGTGAACGCACTCACTAATGTTTGTTTGTTTCACAGCTACAGCTATGACCTTACTCACACATGTTTGTTTGTCTGACAGCTACAGCTATGACCTCACTCACACATGTTTGTTTGTCTCAGGGCTATAGCTATGACCTCACTCACACATGTTTGTTTGTCTCACAGCTACAGCTATGACCTCACTCACACATGTTTGTTTGTCTCTCGGCTATAACTATGACCTCACTCACACATGTTTGTTTGTCTCACAGCTATAGCTATGACCTCACTCACACATGTTTGTTTGTCTCACATGTATAGCTATGACTTCACTAACACATTTGTTGTCTCACATCTACAGCTATGACATCACTCACATGTTTGTTGTCTCACAGCTGCAGCTATGACCTCACTCACACACTTGTCTCACAGCTACAGCTATGACCTCACTCACACATGTTTGTTTGTCTCACAGCTACAGCTATGACCTCACTCACACATGTTTGTCTCACATCTACAGCTGTGACCGCACTCACACATGTTTGTTTGTCTCACATCTGCAGCTATGACCTCACTCACACATGTTTGTTTGTCTCATCTACAGCTATGACATCACTCACACATGTTTGTCTCACAGCTATAACTATGACCTTACTCACACATGTTTGTTTGTCTGACAGCTACAGCTGTGACCACACTCACACATGTTTGTTTGTCTGACATATGCAGCTATGACCACACTCACTCATGTTTGTTTGTCTCACATCTACAGCTGTGACATCACTCACATGTTTGTTGTCTCACAGCTACAGCTATGACCTCACTCACACACTTGTTGTCTCACAGCTACAGCTATGACCTCACTCACACATGTTTGTTTGTCTCACAGCTACAGCTACGACCTCACTCACACATGTTTGTTTGTCTCACATCTACAGCTGTGACTGCACTCACACATGTTTGTTTGTCTCACATCTGCAGCTATGACCTCACTCACACATGTTTGTTTGTCTCACAGCTACAGCTATGACCTTACTCAAACATGTTTGTTTGTCTGACAGCTACAGCTATGACCTCACTCACACATGTTTGTTTGTCTCACAGCTACAGCTTTGACCTCACTCACACATGTTTGTTTGTCTCACAGCTACAGCTTTGACCTCACTCACACATGTTTGTTTGTCTCACAGCTACAGCTATGACCTCACTCACACATGTTTGTTTGTCTCACAGCTACAGCTTTGACCTCACTCACACATGTTTGTTTGTCTCACAGCTACAGCTATGACCTTACTTGCACACTTACAGCTTTGACCTCACTCACACATGTTTGTTTGTCTCACAGCTACAGCTTTGACCTCACTCACACCTGTTTGTTTGACCTTCACACATGTTTGTCTGTCTCACAGCTACAGCTTTGACCTCACTCACACATGTTTGTTTGTCTCACAGCTACAGCTTTGACCTCACTCACACATGTTTGTTTGTCTCACAGCTACAGCTTTGACCTCACTCACACATGTTTGTTTGTCTCACAGCTACAGCTTTGACCTCACTCACACATGTTTGTTTGTCTCACAGCTACAGCTATGACCTCACTCACACATGTTTGTTTGTCTCACAGCTACAGCTATGACCTCACTCACACATGTTTGTTTGTCTCACAGCTACAGCTATGACCTTACTTGCACACATTTTTCTGTCTCACAGCTACAGCTTTGACCTCACTCACACCTGTTTGTTTGTCTCACAGCTACAGCTATGACCTTACTTACACACATTTGTTTGTCTCACAGCTACAGCTTTGACCTCACTCACATATGTTTGTTTGTCTCACATCTGCAGCTATGACCGCACTCACACATGTTTGTTTGTCTCACATGTACAGCTATGAACTCACAAACACTACACTCACAAACACTATGTTCCTCACTCACACCTGTTGTCTCACAGCTACAGCTATGACCTCACTCACACATGTTTGTTGTCTCACAGCTATGCCAACAGAACTAGAACCTCCCAGCAACAGCAGCAGTCATCCAGGCGATCATGAAAGCTTTGACCTCACTCAGCCCACATAGTCCTCCACATGACAGGGGCACTAGAAAGGGTTTGTATGATCACACAGTAATGTCACTTCTGGTGGGTCTGTGGGTGTTTATGCTGGTGTTCCTATCCACTATCTCCAGCTTTCTGCCTTCCCATACAAAAGTGTTCTGTTGTGCCATAGGGAGGGATAGCAATCACACCCTAGGGCAAGGAGGAGATTCTTCTCTCCCAAGCTCAAAGTTTGGGCAGATTGTAGAGACCATTTGTTGCCCTGAAGCAGGATGTCTCATGTGGTCTGCCTTGGTTACTCCAAAGAGTTTCCGGCTGCTGTCACAGTGAGTTTCTCTTCCTCCTTCTATCAGTGTCAGTCATTTCATGTTTATTTGTTTATCAGACTGTTTCTATGGCCTTAAAGGTTCCCAATTCTTTCCTAGGTACATGTTTGATATCTTAAATATAAACTTTTCCAGATACTACCATATTTGATAGAATAAATATACATTTTTCCAGACACAAGCATGTTTGATATCATAAATATAAACTTTTCTAGACACTACCATGTTTGATATCATAAATAAAAATGTTTCTAGACTCTGCCATATATTATATCAGAAATATAATTTTTTCTGGACACTACTGTGTTTGTTACTATAAATATAAAAACTTCCAGATGCTGCCATGTTTGACATCATAAATGTGAATGTTTTCAGACACTACAGTGTTTGGTGTCAAGAATGCACCCTGCAGAAAGTTTGTCTGGAACAACCACCTGCTCAGAGGATTTGAAAGTCATGTCCACTCTGACTGGGTTCTATACATCATCCATGGATTTATTGGCCAGAGCAGTATCCTTGTTCTATTGTCTTTGGGGGGTTTGCTTGCCCTTCTGCTTGGCCTTTACTTTGGAGAATGCATATCTGTAGTTCTGTATAGTATGGTATTGTATAGTATAGTATAGTATAGTATATATATATATATATACCAGAAAGGCTAACCCGGTCAACAAATACCTGCACCAGTCAGGTAATGTGCCATGTGATCCTTGACCAAGTCTAGATGTCTGTGTCTTTGGCAAGTCTGTATACTTGACTCTGATTGGACGTCGATCCAATCAGTTTGCTGGCACAAGGTTTCTCAAACGAGGTGTCAACCTGGAGGTTTGTAAAGTGTAAATGTTTTATCTACTCTCACACAGATCGCCTTTCTACCCTCACACAGATCGCCTCTCTACCCTCCCACAAATCGCCTCTCTACCCTCACACAGATCACCTCTCTACCCTCACACAGATTGCCTCTCTACCCTCACACAGATTGCCTCTCTACCCTCACATCTGTCACTAGTCATCTCTACCCTCACACAGATCACCTCTCTACCCTCACACAGATTGCCTTTCTAACCTCACACAGATCGCCTCTCTACCCTCTCACAGATCGCCTCTCTACCCTTACACAGATCGCCTCTCTACCCTCACACAGATCACCTTTCTACCCTCACACAGATTGCCTCTCTACCCTCACACAGTTCACTTCTCCACCCTCACACAGATGACCTCTCACCTCTCACACAGATCACCTCTCCACCCTCACACAATCGCCTCTCACCCTCATACAGATCAGCTCTCTACCCTCACACAGATCACCTCTCCACCCTCACACAGATTGCCTGTCCACCCTCACACAGATCACCTCTCTACCCTCACACAGATTGCCTCTCTACCCTCACACAGATTGCTTCTCTACCCTCACACAGATCACCTCTCTACCCTCACACAGATCACCTCTCTACTCTCACACACATCACCTCTCTGCCCTCACATAGATCACCTATCTTCACACAGATCGCCTTTCTGCCCTCAAACAAATCGCCTCTCTACTTTCCCACAGATCGCCTCTTTACCCTTACACAGATCACCTCTCTACTCTCACAAAGATCACCTCTCTACTCTCACACAGATCCCCTCTCTACTCTCACACAGATTGCCTCTCTACCCTCACACAGATTGCCTCTCTACCCTCACACAGATTGCCTCTCTACCCTCACACAGATCGCCTCTCTACTTTCACACAGATCGCCTCTCACCCTTACACAGATCGCCTCTTACCCTCACAGATGTCCTTTCTTCCCTCTCATCTATAACTGATCATCACTACCCTCACATCAGCCACGAATCATCTCTACCCCCACATTGTCAGTAGTCATCTCTACCCCCACATTGTTACTAGTCATCACTACTCCCAAATCTGTCATTAGTCATCTCTACTCCCAAATCTGTCATTAGTCATCTCTACTCCCAAATCTGTCATTAGTCATCTCTACTCCCAAATCTGTCATTAGTCATCTCTAACCTCACATCTGTCACTAGTCATCCCTACTCCCAAATCTGTCACTAGTCATCTCTACTCCCAAATCTGTCATTAGTCATCTCTACTCCCAAATCTGTCATTAGTCATCTCTACTCCCAAATCTGTCATTAGTCATCTCTACTCCCAAATCTGTCATTAGTCATCTCTACTCCCAAATCTGTCATTAGTCATCTCTACTCCCAAATCTGTCATTAGTCATCTCTACTCCCAAATCTGTCATTAGTCATCTCTACTCCCAAATCTGTCACTAGTCATCTCTACTCCCAAATCTGTCATTAGTCATCTCTACTCCCAAATCTGTCATTAGTCATCTCTAACCTCACATCTGTCACTAGTCATCTCTACTCCCAAATCTGTCATTAGTCATCTCTACTCCCAAATCTGTCATTAGTCATCTCTACTCCCAAATCTGTCACTAGTCATCTCTACTCCCAAATCTGTCATTAGTCATCTCTAACCTCACATCTGTCATTAGTCATCTCTACTCCCAAATCTGTCATTAGTCATCTCTACTCCCAAATCTGTCATTAGTCATCTCTAACCTCACATCTGTCATTAGTCATCTCTACTCCCAAATCTGTCACTAGTCATCTCTAACCTCACATCTGTCACTAGTCATCTCTAACCTCACATCTGTCACTAGTCATCTCTAACCTCACATCTGTCACTAGTCATCTCTAACCTCACATTTGCCACTAGTCATCTCTACTCCCAAATCTGTCATTAGTCATCTCTACTCCCAAATCTGTCATTAGTCATCTCTAACCTCACATCTGTCATTAGTCATCTCTACTCCCAAATCTGTCACTAGTCATCTCTAACCTCACATCTGTCATTAGTCATCTCTAACCTCACATCTGTCACTAGTCATCTCTACTCCCAAATCTGTCATTAGTCATCTCTACTCCCAAATCTGTCATTAGTCATCTCTACCCTCACGTCTATAACTGATCAACTCTATCCTCACATGTATAACTGATTATCACTATCTTCACATCAGTAACTGATCATTACTACTCTCACATCTATAACTGATCACCTTTGCCCTAATATCTGTCACTAATCACCACTATCCTTAAATATATCACTAATCACCACAACCCTCACATCAGTAACTGATCATCACTACCCTCACATCTATCACTAATCACCACTGTCTTGATAATTATCACTAATCACCACAGACCTGACAGCTATCACTAATCACCACTACCCTCACAGCTATCACTAATCACCACTGCCCTGACATCTATCACTAATAACCACAGCCCTGACAGCTATCACTAATCACCACAGCTATCACTAATCACCACTGTCCTGACAGCTATCACTAATAACCACTGCCCTGACAGCTATCACTAATCACCACTGCCCTGACAGCTATCACTAATAACCACTGCCCTGACAGCTATCACTAATCACCACTGCCCTGACAGCTATCACTAATCACCACTACCCTCACAGCTATCACTAATCACCACTACCCTCACAGCTATCACTAATCACCACTGTCCTGACAGCTATCACTAATAACCACTGCCCTGACAGCTATCACTAATCACCACTGCCCTGACAGCTATCACTAATCACCACTGCCCTGACAGCTATCACTAATCACCACTGTCCTGACAGCTATCACTAATAACCACTGCCCTGACAGCTATCACTAATAACCACTGCCCTGACAGCTATCACTAATAACCACTGCCCTGACAGCTATCACTAATCACCACTACCCTCACAGCTATCACTAATCACCACTACCCTCACAGCTATCACTAATCACCACAGCCCTGACAGCTATCACTAATCACCACGACCCTCACAGCTATCACTAATCACCACTACCCTCACAGCTATCACTAATCACCACGACCCTCACAGCTATCACTAATCACCACTACCCTCACAGCTATCACTAATCACCACAGCCCTGACAGCTATCACTAATCACCACTACCCTCACAGCTATCACTAATCACCACAGCCCTGACAGCTATCACTAATCACCACAACCCTCACAGCTATCACTAATCACCACTACCCTCACAGCTATCACTAATCACCACTACCCTCACAGCTATCACTAATCACCATGACCCTCACAGCTATCACTAATCACCACTGCCCTGACAGCTATCACTAATCACCACTACCCTCACAGCTATCACTAATCACCACTACCCTCACAGCTATCACTAATCACCACGACCCTCACAGCTATCACTAATCACCACGACCCTCACAGCTATCACTAATCACCACGACCCTCACAGCTATCACTAATCACCACAGCCCTGACAGCTATCACTAATCACCACAACCCTCACAGCTATCACTAATCAACACAACCCTCACAGCTATCACTAATCACCACTACCCTCACAGCTATCACTAATCACCACAGCCCTGACAGCTATCACTAATCACCACTACCCTCACAGCTATCACTAATCACCACAACCCTCACAGCTATCACTAATCACCACTACCCTCACAGCTATCACTAATCACCACAGCCCTGACAGCTATCACTAATCACCACAACCCTCACAGCTATCACTAATCACCACTACCCTCACAGCTATCACTAATCACCACTACCCTCACAGCTATCACTAATCACCACTACCCTCACAGCTATCACTAATCACCACTACCCTGACAGCTATCACTAATCACCACTACCCTCACAGCTATCACTAATCACCACAGCCCTGACAGCTATCACTAATCACCACAGCCCTGACAGCTATCACTAATCACCACGACCCTCACAGCTATCACTAATCACCACTGCCCTCACAGCTATCACTAATCACCACAACCCTCACAGCTATCACTAATCACCACTACCCTCACAGCTATCACTAATCACCACTGCCCTGACAGCTATCACTAATCACCACTACCCTCACAGCTATCACTAATCACCACTACCCTCACAGCTATCACTAATCACCACTACCCTCACAGCTATCACTAATCACCACTACCCTCACAGCTATCACTAATCACCACTGCCCTCACAGCTATCACTAATCACCACTGTCCTGACAGCTATCACTAATCACCACTGCCCTGACAGCTATCACTAATCACCACGACCCTGACAGCTATCACTAATCACCACTGCCCTCACAGCTATCACTAATCACCACTGCCCTGACAGCTATCACTAATCACCACTGCCCTGACAGCTATCACTAATCACCACTGTCCTGACAGCTATCACTAATCACCACTGTCCTGACAGCTATCACTAATCACCACTGTCCTGACAGCTATCACTAATCACCACTGCCCTGACAGCTATCACTAATCACCACTGTCCTGACAGCTATCACTAATCACCACTGACCCTCACAGCTATCACTAATCACCACTACCCTCACAGCTATCACTAATCACCACTGCCCTGACAGCTATCACTAATCACCACAGCCCTGACAGCTATCACTAATCACCACAGCCCTCACAGCTATCACTAATCACCACAGCCCTGACAGCTATCAGTAATCACCACAGCCCTGACAGCTATCACTAATCACCACTGCCCTCACAGCTATCACTAATCACCACTGTCCTGACAGCTATCACTAATCACCACAGCCCTGACAGCTATCACTAATCACCACAGCCCTGACAGCTATCACTAATCACCACTGCCCTGACAGCTATCACTAATCACCACAGCCCTGACAGCTATCACTAATCACCACAGCCCTGACAGCTATCACTAATCATCACAGCCCTCACAGCTATCACTAATCACCACTGCCCTGACAGCTATCACTAATCACCACAGCCCTCACAGCTATCACTGATCACCACAGCCCTGACAGCTATCACTAATCACCACAGCCCTGACAGCTATCACTAATAACCACTGCCCTCACAGCTATCACAATACCATCACCACTATCCCTCACCAGCACCCTCACTAATCACCACACCACAGCCTGACAGCTATCACTAATCACCACAACCCTCACAGCTATCACTAATCACCACAGCCCTGACAGCTATCACTAATCACCACTACCCTCACAGCTATCACTAATCACCACTACCCTCACAGCTATCACTAATCACCACTACCCTCACAGCTATCACTAATCATCACAGCCCTCACAGCTATCACTAATCACCACTGCCCTGACAGCTATCACTAATCACCACAGCCCTCACAGCTATCACTAATCATCACAGACCTGACAGCTATCACTAATCACCACTGCCCTGACAGCTATCACTAATCACCACTACCCTCACAGCTATCACTGATCACCACAGCCCTGACAGCTATCACTAATCACCACAGCCCTGACAGCTATCACTAATAACCACTGCCCTCACAGCTATCACTAATCACCACTACCCTCACAGCTATCACTAATCACCACAGCCCTGACAGCTATCACTAATCACCACAACCCTCACAGCTATCACTAATCACCACAGCCCTGACAGCTATCACTAATCACCACAACCCTCACAGCTATCACTAATCACCACTACCCTCACAGCTATCACTAATCACCACAGCCCTCACAGCTATCACTAATCACCACAGCCCTGACAGCTATCACTAATCACCACAGCCCTCACAGCTATCACTAATCACTACTGCCCTGACAGCTATCACTAATCACCACAGCCCTCACAGCTATCACTAATCACCACAACCCTCACAGCTATCACTAATCACCACTACCCTCACAGCTATCACTAATAACCACAGCCCTCACAGCTATCACTAATCACCACAGCCCTGACAGCTATCACTAATCACCATGACCCTCACAGCTATCACTAATCATCACAGACCTGACAGCTATCACTAATCACCACTGCCCTCACAGCTATCACTAATCACCACTGCCCTCACAGCTATCACTAATCACCACAGCCCTGACAGCTATCACTAATCACCACTGCCCTGACAGCTATCACTAATCACCACTACCTTGATAACTGTCTCTCCTCTGACACCCATACACATACATTGATGTGTTCTGTTGTGTTAGAGTGACACACATGTTTGCACCTGCAGGGTTACGTGGCCAATGAAATAGAGACAGAGCAGATTGTACAAGATACATCCGTCACATTCTTGGACCGTGGGAAAGTCTCATCATTTGTTCAGCTGAGGGGCTCTGTGCCTTTATTCTGGTCACAGGATACTTCCAAAATCGTTCCCAAGCCAACTATTTCATGTAAGTTCCCAAGCCAACTATTTCATGTAAGTTCCCAAGCCAATTATTATGTGTAAGTTCCCAAGCCAACTATTTCGTGTAAGTTCCCAAGCCAACTATTTCATGTAAGTTCCCAAGCCAACTATTACGTGTAAGTTCCCAAGCCAACTATTTCATGTAAGTTCCCAAGTCAACTATTTCATGTAAGTTCCCAAGCCAACTATTTCACGTAAGTTCCCAAGCCAACTATTTCATGTAAGTTCCCAAGCCAACTATTTCACGTAAGTTCCCAAGCCAACTATTTCATGTATGTTCCCAAGCCAACTATTTCAAGTGTTCCCAAGCCAACTATTTCACGTAAGTTCCCAAGCCAACTATTTCATGTAAGTTCCCAAGTCAACTATTTCATGTAAGTTCCTAAGTCAACTATTTCACGTAAGTTTCCAAGCCAACTATTTCATGTGTTCCCAAGCCAACTATTTCACGTAAGTTCCCAAGCCAACTATTTCACGTAAGTTCCCAAGCCAACTATTTCATGTGTTCCCAAGCCAACTATTTCATGTGTTGCCAAGCCAACTATTTCACGTAAGTTCCCAAGCCAACTATTTCACGTAAGTTCCCAAGCCAACTATTTCATGTGTTCCCAAGCCAACTATTTCATGTGTTCCCAAGCCAACTATTTCACGTAAGTTTCCAAGCCAACTATTTCACATAAGTTTCCAAGCTAGACATTTAATTAAGTTCTCAAACCAACCATTTCTCAAAGTTCCCGTACCAATTATTTCATTAAGTTTCCAAACCGACCATTTAACGTAAGTTCCTGTACTAATGATTTCATTGCATTCCAAAGCCAACAGTTTCACGTAAGTTCCTAAACAAGTTATTTTTTTGGGTTCTCAAGGCAGCCATTTCACATGTTTCCATTTTAACCATTTCATAAAGTTCCCAAGCCAACCATTTTATTAAGTTCTCATTCCACCTGTTTCATGTAAGTTCGCATACCAGTCATTTAATTTTAGGTCCCTATCCAGTCATGTATTTCTTCTCTTGTGGAAAAATTGACACAGACTGCAGTCTCATCCACTAGCATTAAAAGCATAAGGCAGACATCAGAAGTGCTAACTCAAACAGTCTGACATTAGAAATGCAGCTGGTCATCGATGGAAGCAGCATTGGCTCACACAATCAAATTTAATCACAGAAAGCACCACCAGTGCAATGGCTACCATCTGCCTTAAGCAAAATATTTGCCACAACTAAACACAGTGACCGTGCGTATTGTCTATTGTGACCAGAAAGCAATTATAGTGTTATGTTTCTGACATGCACATATTTGGATAGTGACAGTGCTTTGAGTTGGTGTGCTGAACAGTTTGTCTTCACTGATCTATTGTAGGAGACAGGAACACAGATAGAGTTTGCCAGGGCAGGTGAAAATTATCCTCTCCAGAAATGAGATGTATGGTCTACAAACAGTTATGTTTCATTGATAGTAAGCACAGCTTGCTGTAGCAGAGATCTGAGGTCCACGCTGACTTTATGACTGATGTCTCACTGTACTGTCCTAGAGTTTCTGCACACAGTTGTAAAGCCAACATCAGTTTTCTGTATCTGTTCTTTTAGTGGATCAAAGGGACCCCTACTCTAGTGCTGCTGGAATGCACTTTAACCAGCTCTTGTGCAGATATGGCACCCCTATCATCATTCTCAACCTAGTCAAGGTAGGTGACATGTGTAGATGACAGCAAACCCATGTTGACTTCATATGCTCAGTGATAGGCTTTGTGTTTTAGTTTCAGTCAGACCAGGAGTCCACAGTGTTGTAGGCTGTGAACTCACAACTCTAACTTTAATTAGTGATCTGTAGCTAAGAAAGGGCATCACTGATTTGTGATCTGAAGCTAAGAATAGACATTACTGATTGGTGTTCTGTAGCTAGGAAAGGGCATCACTGATTGGTGATCTGTAGCTAAGAAAGGGCATCACTGATTGGTGTTCTGTAGCTAAGAAAGGACATCACTGATTTGTGATCTGAAGCTAAGAATAGACATCACTGATTGGTGTTCCGTAGCTAAGAAAGGGCATCACTGATTGGTGTTCTGTAGCTAAGAAAGGGCATCACTGATTGGTGTTCTGTAGCTAAGAAAGGACATTACTGATTGGTGTTCTGTAGCTAGAAGGGCATCACTGATTGATGTTCTGTAGCTAAGAAAGGGCATCACTGATTTGTGATCTGAAGCTAAGAATAGACATTACTGATTGGTGTTCTGTAGCTAAGAAAGGGCATCACTGATTGATGTTCTGTAGCTAAGAAAGGACATCACTGATTGGTGATCTGAAGCTAAGAAAGACATTACTGATTGGTATTCTGTAGCTTAGAAAGGGCATCACTGATTGGTGATCTGTAGCTAAGAAAGGGCACTGATCAGCTAAGAAAGGACTGATTGGTGATCTGTAGCTTAGAAAGGTCTGATTGGTGATCTGTAGCTAAGAAAGGGCTGTAGCTCACTGATTGATTGGTGATCTGTAGCTAAGAAAGGGCATCACTGATTGGTGATCTGTAGCTAAGAAAGGGCATCACTGATTGGTGATCTGTAGCTTAGAAAGGGCATCACTGATTGGTGATCTGTAGCTAAGAAAGGGCATCACTGATTGGTGATCTGTAGCTAAGAAAGGGCATCACTGATTGGTGATCTGTAGCTTAGAAAGGACAGATTGGTGATCTGTTGCTAAGAAAGGACTAATTGATGATCTGTAGCTAGGAAAGGGCATCACTGATTGGTGATCTGTAGCTAAGAAAGGACTGATTGATGTTCTGTAGCTAAGAAAGGACATCACTGATTTGTGATCTGAAGCTAAGAATAGACATTACTGATTGGTGTTCTGTAGCTAAGAAAGGGCATCACTGATTGATGTTCTGTAGCTAAGAAAGGACATCACTGATTTGTGATCTGAAGCTAAGAATAGACATTACTGATTGGTGTTCTGTAGCTAGGAAAGGGCATCACTGATTGATGTTCTGTAGCTAAGAAAGGACATCACTGATTTGTGATCTGAAGCTAAGAATAGACATTACTGATTGGTGTTCTGTAGCTAGGAAAGGGCATCACTGATTGATGTTCTGTAGCTAAGAAAGGACATCACTGATTTGTGATCTGAAGCTAAGAATAGACATTACTGATTGGTATTCTGTAGCTAGGAAAGGGCATCACTGATTGGTGATCTGTAGCTAAGAAAGGGCATCACTGATTGGTGTTCTGTAGCTAAGAAAGGACTGATTGGTGATCTGTAGCTTAGAAAGGTCTGATTGGTGATCTGTAGCTAAGAAAGGGCATCACTGATTGGTGATCTGTAGCTAAGAAAGGGCATAACTGATTGGTGATCTGTAGCTAAGAAAGGGCATCACTGATTGGTGATCTGTAGCTTAGAAAGGGCATCACTGATTGGTGATCTGTAGCTAAGAAAGGGCATCACTGATTGGTGATCTGTAGCTAAGAAAGGGCATCACTGATTGGTGATCTGTAGCTTAGAAAGGACAGATTGGTGATCTGTTGCTAAGAAAGGACTAATTGATGATCTGTAGCTAGGAAAGGGCATCACTGATTGGTGATCTGTAGCTAAGAAAGGACAGATTGGTGATCTGTTGCTAAGAAAGGACTAATTGATGATCTGTAGCTAGGAAAGGGCATCACTGATTGGTGTTCTGTAGCTAGGAAAGGGCATCACTGATTGGTGTTCTGTAGCTAGGAAAGGGCATCACTGATTGGTGTTCTGTAGCTAAGAAAGGACTGATTGATGATCTGGAGCTAAGAAAGGACATCACTGATTGGTGATCTGTAGCTAAGAAAGGGCATCACTGATTGGTGATCTGTAGCTAAGAAAGGACATCACTGATTGGTGTTCTGTAGCTAAGAAAGGACATCACTGATTGGTGATCTGTAGCTCAGAAAGGACTAATTGGTGATCTGTAGCTAAGAAAGGACTAATTGGTGATCTGTAGCTCAGAAAGGACTAATTGGTGATCTGTAGCTCAGAAAGGACTAATTGGTGATCTGTAGCTAAGAAAGGACATCACTGATTGGTGTTCTGTAGCTAAGAAAGGACATCACTGATTGGTGATCTGTAGCTCAGAAAGGACTAATTGGTGATCTGTAGCTAAGATAGGGCATCACTGATTGGTGATCTGTAGCTAAGATAGGACATCACTGATTGGTGATCTGTAGCTAAGATAGGACATCACTGATTGGTGTTCTGTAGCCAAGAAAGGACATCACTGATTGGTGATATGTAGCTAAGAATGGACATTACTGATTGGTGTTCCATAGCTAAGAAAGGGCATCACTGATTGGTGTTCTGTAGCTAAGAAAGGACTTATTGGTGTTCTGTAGCTAAGAAAGGACTAATTGGTGATCTGTAGCTAAGAAAGGGCATCACTGATTGGTGATCTGTAGTTAAGAAAGGGCATCACTAATTGGTGATCTGTAGCTAAGAAAGGGCATCACTGATTGATGTTCTGTAGCCATGAAATATCAGAAAAAGATATCAAACCAAATAAAAAGTAGAACTAATGAGCTTTACATTATCAAACTCACAAACAAGTGAACAGTGCAGCTAGAAAGCCCTAGTTGTTACATGACATGAGTAGATAATGTTGCAGTAACAAACATCAAGTGAACAGTGCAACCAGAAAGCCCTAGTTGTTACATGACATTAGTAGATATTGTAACAATAACATTTAGCAAGTGTACAGTGCAGCCAGAAAGCCTTCATCATTACATGAAATGTGTAGATAATGTTACAATAACAAACAACAAGTGAACAAACGAATGAACAGACTTTATTTTCAAAGGGTTACAAATGGGCACGCAGGCTTGTCTGACATTAGGCCCTTCTTAGCACTCATCTTTCAGAGTATCAATGCCTGTTATCAATAATGCATGTTATGTTTATAAAATAAAATTATACATTATAGAATAATGCATACACACATGGATACATGATCATTCACACTCGAACACACATACACATACTCTTACATTCTCATACATATACATTCAAACACAGACATACGTAATCCATACACACACACACCTACATAATATACTCACACATACATACATACACCGACATGCATAAATATATACATAGGCTACACCTACAAGCATACATAATACAAACATACATCCATACATACACAAACATGCATACAGATTTACACAAACATAAAACACACACATACGTACAAAGGCATACATACACACAAACACATACCATATATACACACCTTAACATGCATGCATAAACACACACAGATATTGATTGTTTTAAACAAAGACAACTCCTGAGATATTGATTGTTTCAAACAAAGACAACTCCTGAGATATTGATTGTTTCACACAAAGACAACTCCTGAGATATTGATTGTTTCACACAAAGACAACTCCTGAGATATTGATTGTTTCCCATGAAGACAACTCCTGAGATATTGATTGTTTCACACAAAGACAAAACCTGAGATATTGATTGTTTCACACAAAGACAACTCATTAGATATTGATTGTTTCAAACAAAGACAAAATCTGAGATATTGATTGTTTCCCACGAAGACAACTCCCAAAATATTGATTGTTTCAAACAAAGACAAAACCTGAGATATTGATTGTTTCCCATGAAGACAACTCCCAAAATATTGATTGTTTCACACAAAGACAAAACCTGAGATATTGATTGTTTCCCATGAAGACAACTCCTGAGATATTGATTGTTTCACACAAAGACAACTCATGAGATATTGTTTCAAACAAAGATAACAACTAAGAAATTTGTTTGGTCTTCAGACAAAAGAAAACAAACAGCATGAGAGCATTTTGAGCAATGACTACATCAGCACCATTGAATACCTCAACCAGTTCCTGCCAGCCCAGCACAAGATACAGTATCTCGGCTTTGACATGGCCCGGGTCAACAAACGGCAAGTCTAGTCTGTGTCTCTGCACTTCTCTCACATCTAATGCACTCTGTCTTTCTCCACTCCATAAATTCTCTCACATCTAAAACACTCAGTCTTTCTACACTCTTTCTCTTCTCTCACATCTAATACTCTCTGTCTTTCTCCACTCTTTCTCTTCTCTCACATCTAATACTCTCTGTCTTTCTCCACTCTTTCGCTTCTCTCACATCTGATACTCCCTTTCTTTCTCCACTCTTTCGCCTCTCTCACATCTGATACTCTCTGTCTTTCTCCACTCTTTCACTTCTCTCACATCTGATACTCTCTGTCTTTCTCCACTCTTTCGCTTCTCTCACATTTGATACTCTCTGTCTTTCTCCACTCTTTCGCCTCTCTCACATCTGATACTCTCTGTCTTTCTTCACTCTTTCGCTTATCTCACATCTGATACTCTCTGTCTTTCTCCACTCTTTCACTTCTCTCACATCTGATACTCTCTGTCTTTCTCCACTCCATAAATTCTCTCACATCTGATACACTCAGACTTTCTCCACTCTTTCGCTTCTCTCACATCTAAAACACTCTGTCTTTCTCCACTCTTTCACTTCTCTCACATCTAAAACACTCAGACTTTCTCCACTCTTTCGCTTCTCTCACATCTAAAACACTCTGTCTTTCTCCACTCTTTCGCCTCTCTCACATCTGATACTCTCTGTCTTTCTCCACTCTTTTGCTTCTCTCACATCTAAAACACTCAGACTTTCTCCACTCTTTCGCTTCTGTCACATCTAATACTCTCTGTCTTTCTCCACTCTTTCGCCTCTCTTACATTTAATACTCTCTCTTTCTCCACTCCATAAATTCTCTCACATTTAATACTCTCTGTCTTTCTCCACTCTTTCGCTTCTGTCACATCTAATACTCTCTGTCTTTCTCCACTCCATAAATTCTCTCACATTTAATACTCTCTGTCTTTCTCCACTCCATAAATTCTCTCACATCTAATACTCTCTGTCTCTCTCCACTCTTTCTCTTCTCTCACATCTTATACACGCTGTCTTTCTCCACTCCATAAATTCTCCCTCAGTACACTCTGTCTTTTTCCACTCTTTCACTTCTCTCACATCTAATGCACTTTTTCTTTCTCCACTCCTTTGCTTCTTTCACATCTAATACACTCTGTCTTTCTCCACTCCATAAATTCACTCACATCTAATACTCTCTGTCTTTCTCTACTCTTTCACTTATCTCACATCTAAAACACTCAGTCTTTCTACACTCTTTCTCTTCTCTCACATCTAATACTCTCTGTCTTTCTCCACTCTTTCTCTTCTCTCACATCTAATACTCTCTGTCTTTCTCCACTCTTTCGCTTCTCTCACATCTGATACTCCCTTTCTTTCTCCACTCTTTCGCCTCTCTCACATCTGATACTCTCTGTCTTTCTCCACTCTTTCACTTCTCTCACATCTGATACTCTCTGTCTTTCTCCACTCTTTCGCTTCTCTCACATTTGATACTCTCTGTCTTTCTCCACTCTTTCGCCTCTCTCACATCTGATACTCTCTGTCTTTCTTCACTCTTTCGCTTATCTCACATCTGATACTCTCTGTCTTTCTCCACTCTTTCACTTCTCTCACATCTGATACTCTCTGTCTTTCTCCACTCCATAAATTCTCTCACATCTGATACACTCAGACTTTCTCCACTCTTTCGCTTCTCTCACATCTAAAACACTCTGTCTTTCTCCACTCTTTCACTTCTCTCACATCTAAAACACTCAGACTTTCTCCACTCTTTCGCTTCTCTCACATCTAAAACACTCTGTCTTTCTCCACTCTTTCGCCTCTCTCACATCTGATACTCTCTGTCTTTCTCCACTCTTTTGCTTCTCTCACATCTAAAACACTCAGACTTTCTCCACTCTTTCGCTTCTGTCACATCTAATACTCTCTGTCTTTCTCCACTCTTTCGCCTCTCTTACATTTAATACTCTCTCTCTCTCTCACTCCATAAATTCTCTCACATTTAATACTCTCTGTCTTTCTCCACTCTTTCGCTTCTGTCACATCTAATACTCTCTGTCTTTCTCCACTCCATAAATTCTCTCACATTTAATACTCTCTGTCTTTCTCCACTCCATAAATTCTCTCACATCTAATACTCTCTGTCTCTCTCCACTCTTTCTCTTCTCTCACATCTTATACACGCTGTCTTTCTCCACTCCAGAAATTCTCCCTCAGTACACTCTGTCTTTTTCCACTCTTTCACTTCTCTCACATCTAATGCACTTTTTCTTTCTCCACTCCTTTGCTTCTTTCACATCTAATACACTCTGTCTTTCTCCACTCCATAAATTCACTCACATCTAATACTCTCTGTCTTTCTCTACTCTTTCACTTATCTCACATCTAATACACTCTTTCTTTTTCCACTCTCATGACTTATACACTCTGTCTTTCTCCACTCCATAAATTCACTCCATATATTCGCTCACATCTAATACAGTTTGTCTTTCTCCACTCCATAAATTCACTCCATATATTCGCTCACATCTAATACAGTTTGTCTTTCTCCACTCCATAAATTCACTCCATATATTCGCTCACATCTAATACAGTTTGTCTTTCTCCACTCCATAAATTCTCTCTCATATAATGCACTCTGTTTTTTCCACTCCATAAATTTTCTTATGTAATGGTTTGGAAGTGGTGAAAATTTCGAATATCTTGGGTCACTGGTTACCAACAATGGTGACACAATGAAAGAAATTAAACGGCGACTATCAATTGCTCTTCAAAGACTAAAACAACTGAATAAATTATGGAATTGTACAGATAGAATTACGAAGGTCAGATTTTTAAGAGCATGCATCTTTCCCATTGCAACATACGCCTGTGAGACCTGGACACTTACTAAACAAGCGGAACAGCGCATAAATGCATTTGAATATAAATGTTACAGACAGGTTCTAAGAATATCTTGGGTAAAGAAAAGAACAAATGCATCCATACTTCAAGAGCTGAATATTGAAGAGGGTTGGCTAGTAAAGACAATAAAACAAAGAAAATTGAAATATTTTGGTCACTTGAAACGTCATGGAAGTCTAGAGAGAACAAAAATGGAGGGGTATATGCCTGGGAAGAGAGGAAGAGGAAGGCTAAGGAGAAGATGGGTGCAGGATGTGGCAGATGATCTCCAGATGGGTGTATCAGACGCAGGACATCTTGCTCAGGATAGGAAGGTTTTCCGGAGGGTTGTTATGGCAGCGAGGTTCCGCGAGGGACATGCTGACTGAATGAATGAATGAATGGTCTCTGTCTTTCTCCACTCTGCAGTGATCTTCATTGTTATTAATTGCTGGCTCGAATGAGTCACCGCATCTTTCCATTCACCGACTGACAAGAATGAGAAAACATGGACGCTGGCAGACGTTCAGAAGTTACACGTACTGTTTATTTTAACTCGCTGATGTTGCAGTCAGTAAATATTCATACACAACCGTAGCACTCATCGATTACTTATTTAATGCTCTAAACAGTCAATCATACCTTTGTAACATCGTAGAATTCACACAACTTAGCGAAACACAGTAATTCCATCCATCCAGGCGACAGTCATTCACAGCTGGCCACCGTTTCCGTCAGCCGCTATTTTATGCCAGGTAGGCATTGGGAAATCACGCTATTCAGACGTCAACATTCTTCCGGACTTCCTCACACGTACACCTTCCCTTGGCCTAAACGAGACTGCCTCACAAACCTTTCTTCGCTATTATATAGCCCTCTGATCTGTCATGTTCTTGAATATTCTGGATAATTTCATTCTCACGAATTCCCCACCGTTGAAAGTCGTGTCTGGCCCGTGATAATTCGCATTTCACACGAATCCTGTCAGTCAACCTTCATGGTTCACGTGAACAATCATGTTTCACATAAAACCTGACTTTCAGATGTCTCTCATGAAACTCAAGACATAAATCTTGTGTTATCTCAGTCAGTCAAAACATTCGCCTTACATTTATTATTGACGTCATCTATCGGGCATAACTTAATGGGGAGAAAATGACTCACTACACACTCCATAAATTCTCTCTCATCTAATGCACTCTGTCTTTCTCCACTCCATAAATTCTTTCTCATGTAATGCTCTCTGTCTTTCTCCACTCCATAAATTCTCTCTTGTAATGTTCTCTGTCTTTCTCCACTCCATAATTTCTCTCATCTAATGCTCTCTGTATGTCTCAGTTTCTTTCTTCTGCCCCATCCAATACTATAGGTAAAATGTGTGACAGCCTGCCGAATACAAGAAACATTTGCAACTGTCTGCCCCCCACAAGTTAGTCAGCTATCACAGAGAGGCTGTTCAGACTTGTGTTAACAGAGGCAGCTTCAGCAGTAGGTTAATTCAACAAAAACTTATTTCCCCACTTCTGATGTGAATGTTTTGTTTGTCTCTTGATTTCACAGGAAGGATGCTGATGTCATGCTGAGACTCAACAGAATTGCTAAATACTGCATTAAACAGACTGGCTATTTTCTCAATGTCCAACCCTCACAGGCTCAGTATCTGCTCAAGGACAGCCAGTAAGTTGTAGTGTGTTACACCAACATGTTCAAGGACAGCCAGTAAGTAGAAGTGTGCTACACCAACATGTTCAAGGACAGCCAGTAAGTAGATGTGTGTTACACCAAAATGTTCAAGGACAGCCAGTAAGTAGAAGTGTGTTACACCAACATGTTCAAGGACAGCCAGTAAGTAGATGTGTGTTACACCAAAATGTTCAAGGACAGCCAGTAAGTAGAAGTGTGTTACACCAACATGTTCAAGGACAGCCAGTAAGTAGATGTGTGTTACACCAAAATGTTCAAGGACAGCCAGTAAATAGATGTGTGTTACACCAACATGTTCAAGGACAGCCAGTAAGTAGAAGTGTGTTACACCAAAATGTTCAAGGACAGACAGTAAGTAGATGTGTGTTACACCAAAATGTTCAAGGACAGCCAGTAAATAGATGTGTGTTACACCAACATGTTCAAGGACAGCCAGTAAGCAGATGTGTGTTACACCAAAATGTTCAAGGACAGCCAGTAAGTAGAAGTGTGCTACACCAACATGTTCAAGGACAGCCAGTAAGTAGATGTGTGTTACACCAAAATGTTCAAGGACAGCCAGTAAGTAGATGTGTGTTACACCAACATGTTCAAGGACAGCCAGTAAGTAGAAGTGTGTTACACCAACATGTTCAAGGACAGCCAGTAAGTAGATGTGTGTTACACCAACATGTTCAAGGACAGCCAGTAAGTAGATGTGTGTTACACCAACATGTTCAAGGACAGCCAGTAAGTAGAAGTGTGCTACACCAACATGTTCAAGGACAGCCAGTAAGTAGAAGTGTGTTACACCAACATGTTCAAGGACAGCCAGTAAGTAGATGTGTGTTACACCAACATGTTCAAGGACAGCCAGTAAGTAGATGTGTGTTACACCAACATGTTCAAGGACAGCCAGTACGTAGAAGTGTGTTACACTCACAGGTTCAAGGACAGCCAGTAAGTAGAAGTGTGTTACACTCACAGGTTCAAGGACAGCCAGTAAGTAGAAGTGTGTTACACTCACAGGTTCAAGGACAGCCAGTAAGTAGAGGTGTGTTACACCAAAATGTTCAAGGACAGCCAGTAAGTAGATGTGTGTTACACCAACATGTTCAAGGACAGCCAGAAAGTAGAAGTGTGTTACACTCATAGGTTCAAGGACAGCCAGTAAGTAGATGTGTGTTACACCAACATGTTTAAGGACAGCCAGTAAGTAGATGTGTGTTACACCAACATGTTTAAGGACAGCCAGAAAGTAGAAGTGTGTTACACCAACATGTTCAAGGACAGCCAGTAAGTAGAAGTGTGCTACACTCACAGGTTCAAGGACAGCCAGAAAGTAGAAGTGTGTTACACCAACATGTTCAAGGACAGCCAGAAAGTAGAAGTGTGTTACACCAACATGTTCAAGGACAGCCAGTAAGTAGAAGTGTGCTACACTCACAGGTTCAAGGACAGCCAGAAAGTAGAAGTGTGTTACACCAACATGTTCAAGGACAGCCAGAAAGTAGAAGTGTGTTACACCCACATGTTCAAGGACAGCCAGTAAGTAGATGTGTGTTACACCAACATGTTCAAGGACAGCCAGAAAGTAGAAGTGTGTTACACCAAAATGTTCAAGGACAGCCAGAAAGTAGAAGTGTGTTACACCAACATGTTCAAGGACAGCCAGAAAGTAGAAGTGTGCTACACTCACAGTTTCAAGGACAGCCAGTATGTAGAAGTGTGCTACACCCACATGTTCAAGGACAGCCAGTAAGTAGAAGTGTGCTACACCCACATGTTCAAGGACAGCCAGTAAGTAGAAGTGTGTTACACCAAAATGTTCAAGGACAGCCAGTAAGTAGAAGTGTGCTACACTCACAGGTTCAAGGACAGCCAGTAAGTAGAAGTGTGCTACACCAACATGTTCAAGGACAGCCAGTAAGTAGATGTGTGTTACACCAACATGTTCAAGGACAGCCAGTAAGTAGAAGTGTGTTACACCAAAATGTTCAAGGACAGCCAGTAAGTAGATGTGTGCTACACCAATATGTTCAAGGACAGCCAGTAAGTTGTAGTGTGCTACACCAAAATGTTCAAGGACAGCCAGTAAGTAGAAGTGTGCTACACCAAAATGTTCAAGGACAGCCAGTAAGTAGAAGTGTGCTACACCAAAATGTTCAAGGACAGCCAGTAAGTAGAAGTGGGCTACACCAAAATGTTCAAGGACAGCCAGTAAGTAGAAGTGGGCTGCACTAAAATGTTCAAGGACAGCGAGTAAGTAGAAGTGTGCTACACCAAAATGTTCAAGGACAGCCAGTAAGTTGTAGTGTGCTACACCAAAATGTTCAAGGACAGCCAGTAAGTTGTAGTGTGTTACACCAAAATGTTCAAGGACAGCCAGTAAGTTGTAGTGTGTTACACTAAAATGTTCAAGGACAGCCAGTAAGTAGAAGTGTGCTACACTCACAGGTTCAAGGACAGCCAGTAAGTAGAAGCTTAACCTCAACATTGTGTTGTTTTGTGCACATTTTCCTCTTTTCCATTTTGTTGAGCTTTTTAGTCAAATTTCTCTGGAATTCAGTCAGGACAGCGTCTGTAGATTGGTGTTGTTCAGTCATGACAGCATGTGTAGATTGGTGTTGTTCAGTCAGTAGAGCATGTGTAGACTGGTGTTGTTCAGTCAGGAAAGTGTGTGTAGATTGGCGTTGTTCAGTCAGGACAGTGTTTGTAGATTGGCGTTGTTCAGTCAGGACAGCATGTGTAGATTGATGTTGTTCAGTCAGGACAGCATGTGTAGATTGGCGTTGTTTTTGAGTCAGGACAGCGTGTGTAGATTGATGTTGTTCAGTCAGGACAGCATGTGTAGATTGGCGTTGTTTTTGAGTCAGGACAGCGTATGTAGATTGGCGTTATTGTTCAGTCATTACAGCATGTGTAGATTAGTGTTGTTCAGTCATGACAGCGTGTGTAGATTGGCATTGTTCAGTCAGGCCAGCATGTGTAGATTAGCGTTGTTCAGTCAGGAAAGTGTGTGTAGATTGGTGTTGTTCAGTCAGGACAGCATGTGTAGAACTGCGTTGTTCAGTCAGGACAGTGTGTGTAGATTGGCGTTGTTCAGTCAGGACAGCATGTGTAGATTGGTGTTGTTCAGTCAGGACAGCATGTGTAGATTGGCATTGTTCAGTCAAGACAGTGTGTGTAGATTGGTGTTGTTCAGTCAGGACAACGTGTGTAGATTGGCATTGGTCAGTCAGGACAGCGTCTGTAGATTGGTGTTGTTCAGTCAGGACAGTGTGTGTAGATTGGTGTTGTTCAGTCAGGACAGCATGTGTAGATTGGCGTTGTTCAGTCAGGACAGCTTGTGTAGATTGGCGTTGGTGTCAGGACAGAGCGTGTAGATTGGTTTTGTTCAGTCAGGACAGTGTGTATAGATTGGCATTGTTCAGTCAGGACAGCATGTTTAGATTGGCCTAGTTCAGTCAGGCAGCGTGTAGATTAACATTGTTCAGTCACGACAGTGTGTAGATTGACATTTTTCAGTCAGAACAGTGTAAATTGGCATTGTTCAGTCAGGACAGCGTGAGTAGATTGGCGTTGTTCAGTCAGGACAGCGTGTAGATTGGCATTGTTCAGTCACGACAGTGTCTACATTTGCATTGTTCTGTCAGGACAGCGTGTAGATTGGTGTTATTCAGTCAGGACAGTGTGTAGATTGGCATTGTTCAGTCAAGACAGTGTGTGTAGATTGGTGTTGTTCAGTCAGGACAAGGTGTGTAGATTGGCATTGGTCAGTCAGGACAGCGTCTGTAGATTGGTGTTGTTCAGTCAGGACAGTGTGTGTAGATTGGTGTTGTTCAGTCAGGATAGAGTGTGTAGATAGGCATTGTTCAGTCAGGAAAGTGTGTGTAGATTGGGGTTGTTCATTCAAGACAGCGTATGTAGATTGTCGTTGTTCAGTCAGGACAGCGTGTAGATTGGCGTTGTTCAGTCAGGGCAGCGTGTGTAGATTGGTGTTGTTCAGTCAGGACAGTGTGTGTAGATTGGCATTGTTCAGTCAGGACAGCATCTGTAGATTGGCGTTGTTAAGTCAGGACAGCGTGTAGATTGGTGTTGTTCAGTCATGACAGCATGTGTAAATTGGCATTGTTCAGTCAGGACAGTGTGTGTAGATTGGCGTTGTTCAGTCAGGACAGCGTGTGTAGATTGGCGTTGTTTAGTCAGGACAGCGTGTGTAGATTGGCATTGTTCAGTCAGGACAGTGTGTGTAGATTGGCGTTATTCAGTCAGGAAAGTGTGTTTAGATTGGCGTTGTTCAGTCAGGACAGCATGTGTAGATTGGCGTTGTTGAGTCAGAACAGCGTGTGTCGACTGGCGTTGTTCAGTCAGGACAGCGTGTGAAGGTTGGCATTGTTCAGTCAGGACAGTGTGTGTAGATTGGCGTTGTTCAGTCAGGATAGTGTGTGTAGATTGGCGTTGTTCAGTCAGGACAGTGTGTGTAGATTGGCGTTGTTCAGTCAGAACGTGTGTAGATTGGCGTTGTTCAGTCAGGACAGTGTGTGTAGATTGGTGTTGTTCAGTCAGAACAGTGTGTGTAGATTGGTGTTGTTCAGTCGGGACAGCGTGTGTACATTGGTGTTGTTCATTCAGAACAGCGTGTGTAGATTGGTGTTGTTCAGTCAGGACAGCGTGTGTAGATTGGTGTTGTTCAGTCAGGACAGTGTGTGTAGATTGGCATTGTTCAGTCAGAACAGCGTGTGTAGATTGATGTTGTTTAGTCAGGACAGCGTGTGTCTTGCTGATGCTGCTCTAGGTAGGACATGGTCTCTTTCTTTCTATGGTTGTCAAATCATTGTGTGTAGTTTCTGAAAAGTCTCTCTATAGGGAAGATGGTGAGAGGATGTACTGGTAATCTGGCTTCGGTATCCTAGTATAGGTCAGAAACTTGACACTGCTGTACTAGTATCTGTCATCAAATTTTTACCCTGAACTGTTGGTAGAGACCAGAAAAACTACACACAGTTCAAGAGGTTTAGGAGCAGATTGCATTAGTTAAGCCCTGCCTGTCTCTCTGAAATATGACGCTGGGGGAGACAGTCATCACTTCAGTGCCCTTTGTTACAGGCTGCAGTCACTGAAGGGAGTCTGGGGTCCTACCGGCTGTCGACAGGCTGGTGTGGTCAGGACAAACTGTGTTGACTGCCTGGACAGGACCAACACTGCACAGTTTGCTCTAGGGCGGTGTGCTCTTGCCTACCAGGTAATTGTAGTTTTATAGAGGCATTGACATGATCTCAGTTGTATGACTCATGCTCCCTTAAATGCCTCTGGTTTGTAGTTGTAATGTTTAAACTGTATGGCATGTGTCCATAGTTTGCCATTTGTAAATCTTTACCTATATGGTGTGTGTCCCTAGTTTGCTGTTTGTAACACTTGAACTGTATGGCGTGTGTCCATAGTTTGCCATTTGTAAATTGTTACCTATATGGTGTGTGTCTATAGTTTGCTGTTTATGACTTTCGTATGGCAGTTCTGTCGCGCACCTTTACTTACGGAATATTTTCACAAATCCCTCAGGTGCTCTGAGACAGGGGTGTTTTGAATGGTGGCTCTCGTTCGTCTAGAGGCCTAACCCTCGGTTCAAACTTTCCATTCAACCTGTCTCAGGAATGAGGTGACTCGAGCTCTGACTCCACAGGGTTACTATGAACACTTGGGTACCTCTCGGCCAGACGTCCTCATTACTAATTTGCCCCCAGACTGGTAAACAATGTAAACACAGCCAAACAAGTAAACAACAGTGAGTATGACAAGACGTGAATACCTTTCTGACTACAACAATTAATTCACCAACCGAAAACCTTTCGAAGAACAGAAAGTCTTGTGAACTAAAACTTCAATTATGTGATTCATTACTTCATAACAAGAAAGATAAAAGTCGCTCGAAGAACTAGAATGAATGTTCAGTTCTCCGAAGAACAAAGAATAGAGAAAAAGTCTTTCCATCAAGCTACATCACTTTCCGGAATCATCCTAGCTGGGAGGTAGGAGACAGATTATGAAGGCACATCTGGAATCCAGCTGCTATAGGGTGTTACTTCGACTTATCTGGTTGGATCCTGCAGCTCCTCAGGGTGCTAGAAGGTAATACTGCAATGTCTCACTTCTTAGAAGATCCCCACACAATGGCTAGTATGTCTGGAATTGATTATAGGACAATCAACTCCCCAGAAGTTGGTAGATGTTGACTTCGCACATAGACCACGTATTCAGTAATGGTTGAACAACTCACGTCAGTTGTTTCCCTGGTGTTGGCTGGTAAAACATTAGGACAATGCCACAGACGCTTGTTGGATGGTGGACGAGTATGATTACGCCTCAGACACTTGTTGGATCTTCAAAAATCCCATGATAAATGGATAAAGAGAATAAAGAAGCTTGTCTTTTTAACGGTCAAGTGGCTACAAAGTGTAATATGTTTGCTCACTTGAACGGACCATAGTGAAGTGACGTATAAAACTACAGTCCCTATCTACTGCAGTTGGTGTAAGAATATGGCTCAAGTATACGGTGAAGCGGTCAGACAATTTATTTTAAATAGGCGTAGAAAATGTGTCCTAACGGTTAAATTGACACTAAAAGCCTAAAAGAATCAATCTAAGAGTGATTTATATGGATTTCTCTTATCTGGACTCCCCCATAACAAACGAACTATATAACTACGGTCGGACCATCCGATATCATAGTTACAATGACGATTTTGGGGGTGTTCAGACTGTAGGCCTGCTCATTGAGGTAGGTGTGTGCATTCTGTCATATGACAGAGCTCCCCCAAAAGAGATGAGCGGTCACGCAAATCGACCAACAGCATCACACATCTAACCATCAACAGGTTCAGGTCCCACGACACGCTCCCCATCCTCAGTCAGCACGTCAGCAGACGAAGGGTGGCGACTCAAAAAGTCTGCACCCACATTCTGACCACCGGGAATATATTCTACGGTGAAAGAATAGGGTTGCAGCAGCAACGACCATCTCATCAACCTTGGGTTCAGGTGAGCAGATGAAGCTAGGAACACCAAAGGTTGATGGTCCGTCTGCACAGTGAATTTCACACCATATAAATATGGCTGAAATCTTTGGACCGCCCAAACCAACGCTAGACATTCCCGCTCTATACAGGAGTAACCGCGTTCTGCCACATTAAGTTTTCGACTGGCGTAGGCGACTGGAAACAAAATCTCCGGGTCCTGATTCCAGATTGGAGCAATGCAGCCCCAATTCCGATGCCACTCGCGTCCGTCCTCAACACAAAGGGTTTAGACAGATCGGGTAACTGCAACACGGGAGAAGACGTCAATTTCTCTTTAAGCGTGTTGTAGGCATCCTCACATTCAGGAGTCCAGCATACCTTTTCAGGATGGTCCTTCCTAAGCGCATCCGTTAAGGGAGCAGCTATGGAATTGAAATTTGGAATAAATTTCTGGTAGTATCCGCACAAGGATACGAACGAACGGACCTCCTTTTTGGTACGTTGTCTAGACGCGTTCCGGAGTTTCTCGACATTCTTGGATTCAGGTCTGATAGTACCCTCGGACACAGTGTGTCCCAAGAACTCGAGATTGGGCCAGGCCAGTTTACACTTAGTGGGTCTGGCTGTCAGTCCAGTTTCTTTCAATCGATGCAGCAGTTTCTGCAAAGACTGAATATGGCATTGACATGATCTCAGTTGTATGACTCATGCTCCCTTAAATGCCTCTGGTTTGTAGTTGTAATGTTTAAACTGTATGGCATGTGTCCATAGTTTGCCATTTGTAAATTTGTACCTGTATGGTGTGTGTCCATAGTTTGCCGTTTATAATGTTTGAACTGGATGGGATGTGTACATAGTTTGCTGTTTATAATGTTTAAACTGTATGGCATGTGTCCATAGTTTGCCGTTAGTAAGTTTGACCTATATTGTGTGTGTCCATAGTTTGCTGTTTAAAATGTTTGACCTATATGGTGTGTGTCTATAGTTTGCTGTTTAAAATGTTTGACCTATATGGTGTGTGTCCATAGTTTGCTGTTTAAAATGTTTGACCTATATGGTGTGTGTCCATAGTTTGCTGTTTGTAAGGTTTCAGCTGTTTGGTGTGTGTCCATAGTTTGCTGTTTAAAATGTTTGACCTATATGGTGTGTGTCCACCATTTGCTGTTTGTAACGCTTGAACTGTATGGCGTGTGTCCAATGTTTGGTCTTAGTTCAGCCGTGTCATGTTCTCAAATGTGTCAAGTGTAAAACAGACCTTAGTTAGAATTAGAACTCTAGCTGAAACAGATGATAAATCAAAATCGGTAACACCCAGAGTTCATGGTGGCGTAAAAAAAGTGACCTCCATGCAGCGCTGAGAAAGCATAAAACTTGTTGGCAAGACCTTCTTAGATGGTCCCTTGATGGTTCTGCTTTGATAGTTCTTCAAGATTATTCCCAGATGATTCTAGTTCTCTGAGTTTTTTCACGTGTGCAACACAGGGGATTTTTTTTTTAAAAAAACTTTTATTATGCTTTACATTTTATAGTTGACATTATTGTAGCCAGTAATTTGGAGTGTGCTACACCAACATGTTTCCTGACAGAACATAAGAGTCAAAGTGAGTCATATGTGCAAGTCATATGTAATCGTCACCCAGTGAAGTCTTGTTATTTATGTTCAGAAGACACCACACCTTGACAGTGCCTCTGACCTAGGAACTAGTATCCTCGACACCTACCCACCAAAAGTAGACTCTCCTGCACTTAGACTTTTCAATGGAATCCTGACACTCCCAAACATCTCCTGACACTTGGGTGCTCAACGGAGATCTGAGCCCTTGACCTTTTGGTGTTTTGTGACCTCACTTTGCTAATATTTATTGAACTTTATGTTTGATATCTACTGTCACTTCTAGATTGTAAAATTATGGGCTGATTATCTGTAACTTGTATGTTTCAGCTATATGCCATGGGAGTCCTTGAAAATCCTCACCTAGACTTTGATACAGATTGTATGAAGTAAGTTTGTAGTGTGAAGTAAGTTTGTAGTGCGAAGTAAGTTTGTAGTGCGAAGTAAGTTTGTAGTGCGAAGTACATTTGTAGTGTGAAGTAAGTTTGTAGTGTGAAGTAAGTTTGTAGTGTGAAGTAAGTTTGAAGTGCGAAGTACATTTGTAGTGTGAAGTTAGTTTGCTGTAGGAAGTATGTTTGTTTGCAGGAAGTAAGTTTTTTGTGTGATTTAAGTTTGTTGTGTAAGGTAAATTAGTTGTGTGAGGTAAGTTTGTTGTGATAAGTAAGTTTTTTTGTTTGAGGGAAGTTTGTTATGCGAAGTACTTTGTTGTAGGAATTGAGTTTGTTGTATGAAAAAAGCTTGTTTTATGAAGTAAGTTTGTTGTGTTATCCCAGCTAAGCATCTTTTACTTTTTGATGCTGAATTATTTTTGCAGATGTATTTAAAAAAACCGATTTCATGCCCTTGGTTTAGTAAACTTGTAGGTGCTTGTAGCAGTAAAGCAAACCAAGTATTGGGACAGCTAGCCCCCCTCTTACAGCATAAGACAATCCCAATCAGCACAAAGAGACATCTTATTCAAAGCATATTTATTCCAACTCTGTGCTACCAGTGCCAGACATGGTCACTCACAACAAACCATAAAAGAAAATTAGTAACCACGGAAATGAGATGTCTGAGAAGGGCTGTAGGAGTGACCATAAGAGATAAGATCAGGAATGAGATCATAAGAGAACAAGTCGGCACAGAACAAATTCTGGATAACATACAAAGACAGCAAGTGAAATGGTTTGCCCACTTAGAGAGAATGCCTTGTGACACCATATCATACAAAGCATACATGGAAAAAGAAGAAGGACGTAGAGCACGGGGTAGACCAAGAACAAGATGGAAGGATAACATCAGAGAAACTCTACAATAGCACGATGTGCCTATGGTCGAGGCAGCCAGAAGAGCTAGAAACAGAACCTTATATCTCCCTCGACACCCACAGCGGTAAAAGAGGAAGTGAAGAAGAAGAAGAAGAAGTAGGTGCTTGGTCTCTGATGAAGCTGTATGGTGTGTAGGCCACATGAGTATCCTGTCTTACTGAAGCACAGCTGTTTAAGATGGCTTGCATTGCACAAACGGGTCAGCTGTTACAGTAGCATACTCACTGCATGCACGCATGCATGGACACACACAACACCACATACAGTAGCATACTCATTGCATGCACGCATGTGTGGACACACACATACACCACATACAGTAGCATACTCATTGCATGCACGCATGCGTGAACACGCACATACACCACATACAGTAGCATACTCATTGCATGCACACATGTGTGGACACACACATACACCACATACAGTAGCATACTCATTGCATGCACGCATGCGTGGACACACACAAACACCATATACAGTAGCATACTCATTGCATGCACACATGCGTGGACACGCACATACACCACATACAGTAGCATACTCATTGCATGCACACATGCGTGGACATGCACATACACCACATACAGTAGCATACTCATTGCATGCACGCAGGCGAGGACACACACATACACCACATACAGTAGCATACTCATTGCATGCACATTTGCGTGGACACGCACATACACCACATACAGTAGCATACTCATTGCATGCACACATGCATGGACACGCACATACGCAACATACAGTAGCATACTCATTGCATGCACATATGCGTGGACACGCACATACACCACATACAGTAGCATACTCATTGCATGGACACATGCGTGGACACACACATACACCACATACAGTAGCATACTCATTGCATGCACACATGCATGGACACGCACATACGCAACATACAGTAGCATACTCATTCAAGCACACAGGCGTGGACACACACATACAGTAGCATACTCATTGCATGCACACATGCGTGGACACGCACATACACCACATACAGTAGCATACTCATTGCATGCACACATGCGTGGACACACACATACACCACATACATTAACATACTCATTGCATGCACGCAGGCGTGGACACACACAAACACCATATACAGTAGCATACTCATTGCATGCACACATGCGTGGACACACACATACACCACATACAGTAGCATACTCATTGCATGCACGCATGCGTGGACACGCACATACACTACATACAGTAGCATACTCATTGCATGCACACATGCGTGGACACACACAAACACCATATACAGTAGCATACTCATTGCATGCACACATGCGTGGACACACACATACAGCACATACAGTAGCCCAGTATTGAAGATGTGATTCTCTTGTTGTGCCATGATGATTGTGTGTGTCTGTGCCGTTGTTTGAAGGATGCTGGAGGAGCTGTATGAAGACCATGGTGACACAGTGGCTCTACAGTACGGGGGCAGTCAGCTAGTACATCGCATTAAGGGCTACAGAAAAATAGCACCATGGACCTCACACAGCAGGGACATCATGCAGACTCTGTCACGCTACTACAGCAACGCTTTCTCAGGTAACCAGTTAACACATTCACTGAAGTAGACAGCATCAGTAGGTTCATGGTAGGCTCTCCTGCTCTGTAGTTTTAATCATTCAATAAACATGTCATGCTTCAGTTGTTAGATTCTCTGTGTTCTTGCTCCATCAGCAAGAAGAAGACCACTTGGCCTCCAAGAGGTAGTCAGTGATCACTGATTGTGAGTTTGAGGATGACTGTTTAGTCTAGCCAGATCCTGGAGAGTTCTTGAGCAGTACGGACAACATAGAGAAGTGAGAGCGAAGGTAAGAGCTGCTAAATGGTTCATTCTAGTCTCTTTTATGGTGAGCTGAAAAATGGGAAACATTCCCAAGGCATGCAAAAGAAACGCTTTAAGGACACCTTGAAGTCTTCACTCAAAGCATTTGGGATGAATGACACCCACTGGGAGGCTGCCTCTCAAGACCAAAATGCACGGCATGCAACTCTACACAAGGGCGCGGCTACATGTGAAACAAACAGAAAGCGAGACTGATTAAGGAAAGGATGGACAGAAAGGCGACTGCAGGAAATACCCTCCCTGCCACAACACTCATTCCCTGTCCTCACTGTCCAAGAACTTTTCAGGCCCGCATCGGCCTCATCAGTCATCTTTGTGCTCTTAGATAAAAAAGTGGTCATCATCATCTTGATGGACAACACACACACATTCTAGTCTACTCCCATTTCTCTGCTGTTACAACTTCCGCTGCCTGGCAGGCTGATGCACCATGTTTGACTTCTGTACTCTATTCAGATCAGTCTTGTGCAACAAGATCCCATGTTACAGTCTTATTATCAGTTCCTGAACAGTCCTTCAGCCTAAAGAAGATGACATCTGTGTTTTTGTCCATGACCTTTCTCAGATGTGGAGAAGCAGCAGGCATTCAACTTGTTTCTGGGAGTGTTTCTACCTGTGGAAGGTCAGCCTAATCTCTGGGACCTGCCAACAGACTATTATCTTCACAATAAGGCATCCCTTGGGATTCGAACACCCAGGAATCAGTGAGTTGTTGATTTGAGATGAGTGGATGTGTTATATTTGCTGGCACAGCATCAGTGTGAATGTTTGTTATGTCTACTCAGGACTTGTTCTCTTCTACACTTGTCACATCTAAAGAGAGAGAGAGAGAGAGAGAGAGTGCGTGCGTGCGTGCGTGCGTGGGCCTGTGGGTTCTAGGACAGGGACTTGTCATGTTAGAAAGCAAAAAAAAGAGAGGATATATGCTTGCATATGTGTGTGTGTATATGTTTATTTTTGTGCGCACAGGCATGTGAGATATGTTTCTTTGTCAGACATGGTCATATTTATTTTGTTTAGATATGGCGTACACAGACATACTCATACATAAATATTTCAATATAAAGATACCTCCACTCAGCGATCCTCTATCCTTACATTACATACACACACATATATACATTCTCTCTCTGTCACACATTCACACACAGACTCACACATTCACAAACATGCCTACATACTAGGGCTGTACAGAATATTCGCTTTGTATTCGCTTCGGGGCCGAATAGTCGACTTAATAACTATTCGGTATTCGGCTGAATACTTGCGACGGGCCGAATACGAATAATTGTTACCTTACACACGTTTCTGCATACACTGCGATGGACTGAAATAACTCTCTCAATACAATAGTTGCTGTTGCTTAAGTCTGTCGTAGTGGAGGAATCTGCGTGGTACAGCAGCTGGCAGGGTCTTTGCCTGCTGACTCGACCAAGGCATTACAGCAGAGGTTCTCAAACTTGGTGAGTATGCCGAGGGTGCTGCAGTGAGAATCAAGAAAAGTCGGCTATAAATTGTGACATTATTAAAAGGGCATAAAGATGCTTAAAAGTTATAATAAAAATTTTCTTTCCTCGCCACTGTCGAAAAAAGGTTTTTTCCTTGTTTCACACTCAAAGTATATCATACTGCATACAATGCCAACTGCAGCGTGCTAAAAATTGTGGTTTTACAGAACATTGCTAAAAATACCCTGGACAGCCCCAAAAAAAGCAACCAGGAGGTTTTGAAAGCTGCGGGCGCCCGAAAACAACTAATCACAGACATCAGAAGGAGACAGTCATCATTTTTCGGCCATGTTATGAGAAGAGGGAAAATGGAATATGTTGTGACCACTGGAAAGATCTGTGGAAGGAGGGATAGAGAAAGACAACAAAAGAATATTCTTGATAGTCTTGTTGCATGGCATGGAGGTGTGTCAGCACTAAAACATGCTGCAGGAAATCGCAGATTGTAGCGAGGCATATTCGCCCACGCCAGTCAGCAAGACACCTGATGATGATGATACACTATTTGTATTCATATTCGTATTCAGCCGAATAGTTGGTCCCGCTATTCATATTCGGCCGAACAGTGAAAATCACTATTCGGTACAGCCCTACTATATTCATACACATACACGCACAAACACATACATACATACACACACATACATACATGTGCCTGCTTTTATATATGACCGTACAGGGCAAGATGCCATTAGCAAAATCTGACGACGTAAAACAAGAGCAGATCGCAGACGGCGGGAGAGATGGGCCCAGCCACCATGGTGGAATGAAGTAGTCAACATGGCGTGGCTAGAAAAAAGGAAAGCTGTCAAGGCATGGCAAAAGGCAAGGAAAATTGATCCGTCACTTTCTGAACGCCTGATCAGTCTGAAAGATGAGGTTAACAAGCAGACAGTGGCTTTCAAGTTAATTGCGAAGGAAGCTAAGACAGCGAAATGGAACGAATTCTGCAAGAGCGTTTGCTCCGAGGGATCTCTTGTGACATTCTGGCGCCTTCAACGGAGCATGCACGGCGCCGCACGACCAAGGGGTATCCCTGATTTTCAAGGTACAGACCTGATATGGCGGAGAACTGATGCTGATAAAGGAAAAACCCTTCTGGCTCGCTACTTGGAGCAAACTGACCAAAAAGACGAAGCTACAAGAATAGGGGTTAAGATGAAACTGTCGATGCTGTGCGAGAACACTGTGCTAGGCACTGATCTCACAATCACTGCAGATACCTTAAGAACTTGCCTCAAGAAATCGCGCAGCACTGCTCCAGGCCCTGACGGCATCCGATAAACGACATGCTGATGATGTCAAATGCTGATTTGAAAAGCGTGGCAAAGGAATTCAATATCAGCATCCAGAGTGGCCAGATACAAGAGGAATGGCTCCATAGTTATTTGTTCCCACTACCAAAGCCTAATAAAGACCACTCAAAGATCTGCGGCTACAGAATCATCTCGATGCAGAATACTGTTGGCAAACTTTTGGAAAAAATTGTCGCACAAAGATTGACCACCTACTTGGAACTACATGATAAGTTCCCACCAACACTTGGAGGGTACAGGCAGTTTTGGACTTAGAAGATGCCTACAATAAAGTACCATATGATTATTTAATGCAATTACTGCTTAAACTAGAAGTTAATCCTATTCTGATCCGCTGGATTGCTGCGGTCCTGTTCCAGAGAAAGATTGTACTAAGATGTGGTAGCTGGTCCTCAGAACCCCAAACGATATGTCCAGGCTTGCCACAGGGATCACCGCTATCACCAGTCTTATTCAACGTTTATACGGTGATGATCACTGAGCAGCAGTTGAATGGAAAGGGAAGTACTTTGTCATTTGCTGATGACATTTTGATTTATCGACGAGGGCGTGATAGACAGGAGATCGCCAGCACTATGCACAAAGAACTCAATCGAATTGCCTCCTGGTGTGATGGTTCCAATGCCTATGTCAATCCTTCGAAGGCATCAGTGTCATGGTTCTCTTTGAACAATCACATTATCAAGCCGGACTTACCAGAAGTGAAAATGCGTGATAATGTATTGATCAGAACCAACGTTATGATGTTTCTCGGGGTGAGGTTCGATCGCAGCTTGTCATTCAGGGAACACGTTGACCATGTGATAACAAAAGCACGCAAAGGTCTATCTGCAATGAGGATTATGGCTGCTTCCAATATTGAGCAAAGACTACTAATACTTCTATTCTACGGTCTGGTCCTTTCCCCCATTGAATATTCTCTGGCCATCCTCACTGTCAGTGCTACCTAGATTGAACAACTCGAAAAGGTGCAAAAGGAAGCCGTGCGCATTATTTTGGGATGTACAAGAGACACATCCTGTGGAGCAATGAGGTATCTACTTGACTTTCCAACAATGAACCAAAGGATCAGGATGTGGAGGGCTCGGGCATATCTAAAAATATGTGCTGATAAGAAACACCCACTGCATCAAGCGCTTTTTAGTGAAAAGGGCGACAGACTAAAGAGGGGGAAATCGTGGCTAGGTCGGGCAGAAGATGTTATTAGGCAAATATGCAGCCTAACCGACATCGTACCTGGTGCAGAATGGATACCTGTGCCTCAGGCGTTTATTTGTACATTTTCCTGTATTGTCACACTCAACAGGCGATGTAGAGAAGAGAATCCTGTTGCTGTTAATGCAGAGATCAACGCTCTCATCGGTGAAAATTCAGACGAAGCAGATGCAATAATCTATACAGACGGATCCGTTATACGCCAAAGAAGAAGCGCATGGGCATTTACAGCACGCTCAGCGGGCAGAACAGTCAAAGAAGCCAACGGCGCCTTCTCCATGACAACCAGCAGCATGACGATGGAGGTGATGGCAGTGACGCAAGCACTTGCCTGGCTTGAAACACAAAAATACACCAGTGTATACTCAGTGATTCAATGAGTATGATCTGGAGGGTTCAGGCAGGTTCAGTGGGAAGACAATGGCTTGAATCATTACAGAAGTCCACTGTGCCTGGAGTCACCTTTATTTTTGTTCCGGGATACGCAGGCGTCGATGGAAATGAAAGAGCTGACAGGTTGGCTGGATCCGCTATCGCTACCGACGGTCAGCCTATGGATCATGCTGATATTATCAATGCCCTCAGAGAAATGGGAAGGATAGAGGACTTTGGTGGCAGTGAATCCACATCACTCGCCAGAATGGCAGACTTGGGAATTAAGATCGGCACAGCAAAAAACGAGACGCACACCAGACACGCCAGAAGACTAGTTAATCAACATAGAACTGGTACTATTAGCCATCGGACGTTGGGGTTCATACTGAGGGGAGGATCTGAGCACCTATGGACATGTCCGGAGTGCAATGAGGATAACCCAACTAACTAACTAACTAACATACATACCTACATACCTATGTACATACCTACATACATACATACATACTTACGCACGCATGCACACATAAATGTGTGCATTTATGTACATGGGTATTTCAATTGTTATAACACACACAGTTTTTTTAACCAAAAGATAAACATAATCTGTTGTGCTCGTAATTAAGTAAAACCTCTATCTCTGAAAAAGTAGCGCACTTCTATTTTCTGGCTGTCCTTGAACTTGTGCATGTAGCACACTTCTACTAACTGGCTGTCTTTGAACCTGTGCATGTAGCACACTTCTACTTACTGGCTGTCCTTGAACTTGTGAGTGTAGCACACTTATACTTACTGGCTGTCCATGAACTTGTGCATGTAGCATACTTCTACTTACTGGCTGTCCTTGAACTTGTGCATGTAGCACACTTCTACTTACTGGCTATCTTTGAACTTGTGCATGTAGCACACTTCTACTAACTGGCTGTCCTTGAACTTGTGCATGTAGCACACTTCTACTTACTGGCTGTCCTTGAACTTGTGAGTGTAGCACACTTATACTTACTGACTGTCCTTGAACTTGTGCATGTAGCACACTTCTACTTACTGGCTGTCCTTGAACTTGTGCATGTAGCACACTTCTACTTACTGGCTGTCCTTGAACTTGTGAGTGTAGCACACTTATACTTACTGGCTGTCCATGAACTTGTGCATGTAGCACACTTCTACTTACTGGCTGTCCTTGAACTTGTGAGTGTAGCACACTTATACTTACTGGCTGTCCATGAACTTTTGCATGTAGCACACTTCTACTTACTGGCTGTCTTTAGACTTGTGCATGTAGCACACTTCTACTTACTGGCTGTCCTTGAACCTGTGAGTGTAGCACACATCTACTTACTGGCTGACCTTGAACCTGTTGATTTAGCACACTTCTACTTACTGGCTGTCCTTGAACCTGTGAGTGTAGCACACATCTATATACTGGCTGACCTTGAATCTGTTGATGTAGCACACTTCTACTTACTGGTTGTCCTTGAACCTGTTGATTTAGCACACATCTACTTACTGGCTGTCCTTGAACCTGTTGATTTAGCACACATCTACTTACTGGCCGTCCTTGAACCTGTTGATTTAGCACACTTCTACTTACTGGCTGTCCTTAAACCTGTGCATGTATGTTACATGTTGCAAGAACTGGTTGTTATTCTACTGTGTGTGACATGTTGCAAGTTCTGGTTTTAGCCTGAAGTCATGTGTATTGTATGTGACCTGTTGCAAGTTCTGGTTTTGTCAGAAATCAGACTTTTTATTTGTGACCTGTTGCAAGTTCTGGTTTTAGTCTAAATCATGTTTATTATTTGTTATCTGTTGCAGGTTTTTATTTTAGTCTGAAGTCATGTCTGCTGTTTGTGACATGTTGTACGTTCTAGTTTAACACTGAAGTTGTGTGTATTATTTTTGATATGTTGCAAGTTCTGATTTAATTCAGCCCTGTTATGTGTGACATGTTGCAAGTTCTGATTTAATTCAGCCCTATTATAGGGGACATGTTGCTAGTTCTGGTTTTGGTCAGGAGTCAGCCCTATTATGTGTGACATGTTGCAAGTTCTTGTATTGAAATAAAGTCAAGCCCATAATTTGTGACATGTTGCAAGTTCTTGTATTAAAATAAAGTCAGCCCTGTTATGTGTGACATGTTGCAAGTTCTTGTATTAAAATAAAAGTCAAGCTAATAATTTGTGACATGTTGCAAGTTCTTGTATTAAAATAAAGTCAAGCCTATTATTTGTGACATGTTGCAAGTTCTTGTATTAATATAAAGTCAAGCCTTTAATTTGTGACATGTTGCAAGTTCTTGTATTAAAATAAAGTCAAGCCTATAATTTGTGACATGTTGCAGCTACTGTCAGTGGTGGGACCAGGATGTCTGGACCAGCTTGCCCCTGCCCAATGAAGAAGGTGAACACTTGATGATGCACATGTGTCATCTCTGACTTGGTTGTTTTTATCTAGTAACAAGGCTAACCAACCTCCAGGGTGCTTGATCCTTGGTTCCCAGTTGTATTTTATCTAGTAACAGTGCTAACCAACCTCCAGGGTGCTTGACTCCTTGGTTCCCAGTTGTATTTTATCTAGTAACAGTGCTAACCAACCTCCAGGGTGCTTGATCCTTGGTTCCCAGTTGTATTTTATCTAGTAACAGTGCTAATCAACCTTCAGGGTGCTTGATCCTTGGTTCCCAGTTGTATTTTATCTAGTAACAAGGCTAATCAACCTCCAGGGTGCTTGATCCTTGGTTCCCAGTTGTATTTTATCTAGTAACAGTGCTAATCAACCTTCAGGGTGCTTGATCCTTGGTTCCCAGTTGTATTTTATCTAGTAACAAGGCTAATCAACCTCCAGGGTGCTTGATCCTTGGTTCCCAGTTGTATTTTATCTAGTAACAGTGCTAACCAACCTCCAGGGTGCTTGACTCCTTGGTTCCCAGTTGTATTTTATCTAGTAACAGTGCTAACCAACCTCCAGGGTGCTTGACTCCTTGGTTCCCAGTTGTATTTTACCTAGTAACAGTGCTAACAAACCTCCAGGGTGCTTGATCCTTGGTTCCCAGTTGTATTTTATCTAGTAACAGTGCTAATCAACCTTCAGGGTGCTTGATCCTTGGTTCCCAGTTGTATTTTATCTAGTAACAAGGCTAATCAACCTCCAGGGTGCTTGACTCCTTGGTTCCCAGTTGTATTGTATTCTCTACACCTCACAAATCCTGGACTGATTGCTTCCATTTAGTGTTATATGTCCTATTAGTCTACGTATTACTGATGTAGTGGAGAATGAGCAGATGGTTCTAAATGACACCCAACATCCAGGGAAAGCAGATAGTTGTGGATGATACTCAACATCCAGGGAAAGCAGATAGTTGTGGATGATACTCAACATCCAGGAGGAGCAGATAGTTGTGCATGGCACCTAACCTCTGGGGGAGCAGATGGTTGTGCATGGCACCTAACCTCTGGGGGAGCAGATGGTTGTGCATGGCACCTAACCTCTGGGGGAGCAGATGGTTGTGGATGATACTCAACATCCAGGGGGAGCAGATGGTTGTGGATGATACTCAACATCCAGGGGAAGCAGATAGTTGTGGATGACACTCAACATCCAGGGGAAGCAGATAGTTGTGGATGAAACTCAACATCCAGGGAGAGCAGATGGTTGTGCATGGCACCTAACCTCTGGAGGAGCAGATGGTTGTGGATGGCACCTAACCTCTGGGGGAGCAGATGGTTGTGGATGGCACCTAACCTCTGGGGGAGCAGATGGTTGTGAATGGCACCTAACCTCTGGGGGAGCAGATGGTTGTGGATGGCACTCAACATCAGGGGGAGCAGATTGTTGTGGATGGCACTCAGCATCAGGGGGAGCAGATGGTTGTGGATGGCACTCAGCATCAGGGGGAGCAGATGGTTGTGGATGGCACTCAACATCAGGGGGAGCAGATTGTTGTGGATGGCACTCAGCATCAGGGGGAGCAGATGGTTGTGGATGGCACTCAACATCAGGGGGAGCAGATGGTTGTGGATGGCACTCAACATCAGGGGAAGCAGATGGTTGTGGATGGCACTCAACATCAGGGGGAGCAGATGGTTGTGGATGGCACTCAACATCAGGGGGAGCAAATGGTTGTGGATGGCAGTCAACATCTGGGGAAAAGGGGGGGGGGGGATATCAGATGGTTGTTGATGGCACTGAAAATCCAGGGGAGCAGATGGGCAGGCTTGTCAACATGTTTATTTGCTGCTGAAGAAGGAGGCAGAGCACGTATGAGAATGTACTGTTACTATAATGTTTCTTGTGAGCTCATTCATTCTGTACATCTAGTTGCTGTTGTGACCAGACCTGTTTCATTGTGGTCTGTAACTGAGCAAGTGAAAGTCTTGTTCTGATAGTAGTTGTCTAAATGCAGAAAGTGACAAATACAGACAATTCCTCAACTGTATCAGGCATGCAGGTGGGTGTCATGCCTTCTTTGCAGATAGACAGCCTATGCATCCCTTGACATTGTTAATGCCCTTAGAGAGATAGAACCATCAGAGGATTTTGTGACAGCTGGTCCAAATCACTGCTAATGAATTTTGAGTAAAGATTGGTACAGCCACGCAAAAGAGGCACACTGGACAAACAAAAGCCTTTTTAACCAGTACTATTAACTATGGAATGTTGGTATATGTGTTGGAGGGAGAATCTGAGCACCTATGGACTAACTCATGTTAGTTTAGCCATAGATCATCCTCACTACACATCCATTTATTATATGTGTTCTCCATGGACAGTACTCATGACATACCCATAAGTATTCAGTCTCCCATTTGAGAGAAATCAAAATTCTTCTATGCTAATTATGTCCATTATTTGTTGATTAGAAATATGCAACTCATCCACATTGTTGGCATGTAGCACATCAGATGAGTATACAAGAGCTAGTAGGATGACATGTCAACTGCCTGGGGTTGTCTGTGTACAGTGTACAAGTGTTAGCAGGATAGTGTCCTCATATCAAGTGTCTAGTTTTAATCTGTGTACAAGTGTTAGCAGGATATGTGCACCTATCAAGGGTCTAGTTTTTATCTGTGTACATTGTACACATGTTAGTCATATGGTCTGTATTATTAGGTATCTTGTATTGTCTGTGTACTGTAAACCAATATTGTTGATATAGTCTATATTATTAAGTATCTTGTATTGTCTGTGTGCAGTAAACCAATATTGCTGATTTTTTCTGTATTTTTAAGTATCTTGTATTGTCTGTGTACAGTAAACCAATATTGGTGATATGGTCTGTATTATTAAGTATCTTGTATTGTCTGTGTACAGTGAAGCAATATTGGTGATATGGTCTGTATTATTATCTTGTATTGTCTGTGTACAGTAAACCGATATTGGTGATATGGTTTGTATTTTCAAGTATCTTGTATTGTCTGTGTACAGTAAACCGATATTGGTGATATGGTTTGTATTTTCAAGTATCTTGTATTGTCTGTGTACAGTGAACAAGTGCCAGCTAAATCATGCTGCAGTACTGATGGCCCCACAGGCTGACGAACATGTTAACCCATTCTATGACCACTACCGACCAGAAGAACTGACCTTGTTTGACCAACTATACCAGATGTACCTGTCCCAGGTGTGCTGGTAGGTCACATCCTTGGTTTGAGTTGTCCAGTCTTCTGCCTAGGGATACATCTGTTCAATGTACTTAGTAATGCACTGTTCAGTGTTCTTAGAGAAATGTCTGTTGAATGTACTTAATGATTTATCCACAAGTCTGTCTGGACATGCATGCATGGAAGTATCTCCATCATCTCTGCCTGAAGATATATCCATGATGTGTTGTTGGAGATGTATCCATGATGTGTTGTTGGAGATGTATCCATGATGTGTTGTTGGAGATGTGTACAAGAGATTTTGTTGACGACATATCTGTAATGTGTTGTTGGAGATGTATCCATGATGTGTTGCTGGGGATGTGTCCATGATGTGTTGTTAGAGATGTGTACAAGAGATTTTGTTGAAGGCTTATCTGTAATGTTTTGTTTGAGATGTGTGCAAGAGATTTTGTTGAAGACATATCTGTAATGTGTCATTAGAGATATGTGCAAAAGATTTTGTTGAAGACATATCTGTAATGTGTTGTTGGAGATGTGTCCAAGAAATTTTGTTGAAGACATATCTGTAATGTGTTGTTGGAGATGTGTCCAAGAAATTTTGTTGAAGACATATCTGTAATGTGTTGTTGGAGATGTGTCCAAGAAATTTTGTTGAAGACATATCTGTAATATGTTGTTAGAGATGTACCCATGATGCATTGTCGGAGATATAGCCATGATGTGTTGTTGAAAATATAGCCATGATCTGTTGTTGGAGTTTTACCCCTGGTGTTTTGTTGTAACTCATCATTCATTCCACACATGTGCTTCAGTCTCCCTCTATGGATAACACACATAGAGAATCTCATCATTCATTCCACACATGCTTCAGTCTCCCTCTATGGATCACACACATGGAGAATCTCATCATTCATTCCACACATGCTTCTGTCTCCCTCTATGGATAACACACATAGAGAATCTCATCATTCATTCCACACATGCTTTAGTCTCCCTCTATGGATCACACACATAGAAAATCTCATCATTCATTTCACAAATGTGCTTTAGTCTCCCTCTATGGATCACGCATAGAGAATCTCAGAATCATTCATAATGCTTCATCCCTCTATTGATCACACACATGGAGCTCATCATTCATCACACTGCTTATGGATCACTCACACACATGGAGAATCTCATCATTTATTCCACACATGCTTCAGTCTCTCTCTATGGATCACACACATAGAGAATCTCATAATTTATTCCACACATGCTTCAGTCTCCCTCTATGGATCACACACATGGAGAATCTCATCATTTATTCCACACATGCTTCAGTCTCCTTCTATGGATCACACACATAGAGAATCATATCTTTCATTCCACACATGCTTCAGTCTCCCTCTATGGATCATACACATGGAGAATCTCATAATTCATTCCACACATGCTTCAGCCTCCTTCTATGGAACACACACATGGAGAATCTCATCATTCATTCCACACATGCTTCTGTCTCCCTCTATGGATCACACTCATGGAGAATCTCCTCATTCATTGCACACATGCTTCAGTCTCCCTCTATGGATCACACACATGGAGAATCTCATAATTTATTCCACACATGCTTCAGTCTCCCTCTATGGATCACACACATGGAGAATCTCATCATTTATTCCACAAATGTGCTTTAGTCTCCCTCTATGGATCACACATAGAGAATCTCATAATTCATTCCACACATGCTTCAGCCTCCCTCTATTGATCACACACATGGAGAATCTCATCATTCATTCCACACATGCTTTAGTCTCACTCTATGGATCACACACATGGAGAATCTCATCATTTATTCCACACATGCTTCAGTCTCTCTCTATGGATCACACACATAGAGAATCTCATAATTTATTCCACACATGCTTCAGTCTCCCTCTATGGATCACACACATGGAGAATCTCATCATTTATTCCACACATGCTTCAGTCTCCCTCTATGGATCACACACATAGAGAATTTCATCATTTATTTCACACATGCTTCAGTCTCCCTCTATGGATCACACACATGGAGAATCTCATCATTTATTCCACACATGCTTCAGTCTCCCTCTATGGATCACACACATAGAGAATCATATCTTTCATTCCACACATGCTTCAGTCTCCCTTTATGGATCACACACATGAAGAATCTCATAATTCATTCCACACATGCTTCAGCCTCCCTCTATGGATCACACACATGGAGAATCTCATCATTCATTCCACACATGCTTCTGTCTCCCTCTATGGATCACACTCATGCAGAATCTCATCATTCATTCCACACATACTTCAGTCTCCCTCTATGGATCACACACATGGAGAATCTCATCATTCATTCCACACATGCTTCAGTCTCCCTCTATGGATCACACACATGATGAATCTCATCATTCATTCCACACATGCTTTAGCCTCCCTCTATTGATCACACACATGGAGAATCTCATCATTCATTCCACACATGCTTCAGTCTCCCTCTATGGATGACACACATGAAGAATCTCATCATTAATTTCACACATGCTTCAGTCTCCCTCTATGGATCACACACGTGGAGAATCTCATCATTCATTCCACACATGCTTCAGTGTCCCTCTATGGATCACACACATGGAGAATCTCATAATTTATTCCACACATGCTTCAGTCTCCCTCTTTGGATCACACACCTAGAGAATCTCATCATTCATTTCACACATGCTTCAGTCTCCCTCTATGGATCACACACATAGAGAATCTCATCTTTCATTCCACACATGCTTTAATCTCCCTCTACAGATCACACACATGGAGAATCTCATCATTTATTCCACACATGCTTCAGTCTCCCTCTATGGATCACACACATGGAGAATCTCATCATTTATTCCACAAATGCTTCAGTCTCCCTCTATGGATCAAACACATGGAGAATCTCATCATTCATTCCACACATGCTTCAGTCTCCCTCTGGATCACACACATGGAGAATCTCATCATTCATACCACTAATGCTTCAGGCTCCCTCTATGGATCACACATGGAGAATCTCATCACTCATTTAGTCTTTTTCTGCAGCAGGCAGAGAAGCTCGTTATTCATTCCACACATGCTTAGTCTTTTTCTGCAGATCAGAGAATCTCGTCATTCATTCCACACATGCTTCAGTCTCCCTCTATTGATCACACACATGGAGAATCTCATCATTCATTCCACACATGCTTCAGTCTCCCTCTATGGATATGGATCGCACACATTGATTCACACACATCAGGAGACACACATGGAGAATCTCATCATTCATTCCACACATGCTTCAGCCTCCCTCTATGGATCACACATGGAGAAACTCGTCATTCATTCCACACATGCTTCAGCCTCCCTCTATGGATCACACACATGGAAAATCTCATCATTCATTCCACACATGCTTCTGACTTTTCTGCAGATCAGGCAGAGAAGCTCGTCATTCATTCCACACATGCTTTAGTCTTTTTCTGCAGATCAGACAGAGAAGCTCGTCATTCATTCCACACAAGGTGTCATTGGGTGACAGTAACATTGAACTTTCTGTCTCTGTTTGTTAGGTGGAACTAGGTGTTGCATGCGCATTTGCAACGCTGAAACAAAATTGTGATTCTACTTACAGAGCGTTTTATTAATTTTTTTTATGGGGAGTCAAAAGAATTCATGAGGAAATAAAGCGGCTTTTAGCTGGATAATGAAATGTTCTCAAGTACGCTCTAAAATTGTTGATAAAGTCCGATCTGGTCATCCTGTTGAGATTGCAACAGACTCATGTGGATTGAGGATGTAATTAGAGGTGACAGGCGAGTAGCGGCTGGTTCTTTTGTAGCATCAATAGGGTGCTCACATGGTTCAGTATACAACTTAATGCATGATCAATTTAAATTTTGGGTCCACCAAAAACCCTCCTTGGTGTGAGACATTTCGTGAATGATGCAGAAGTTGAATGTGAAGTGAAAATGTGGTTTAGAAAACAGCACACAGTTCTATGCAGCAGTTTTTGGGGACTGATAAAATGATGGGAGGAGTGCATCAGTGTTAGTGGAAATTATGTTGAAAAATAAAGGCACAGTGTATGTGTAAAAATTAATGGTTTTCAAGTTATCATCATCTTTAGTTTTTTTTTTTTAAATCAACCATTTCTGACTTACTTATTGACTTCCCTTCGTACATAAACAATTGGAAATGATATAAAATTGTGAAAGTGTCATGTATTTATGATATTCCAGGAAACACATGCCCAAAAATGCCACAGACCTAAGTCCCTTCTGTGTCCGTCACTCCACAGATACAGAACGGTGAGTCTGACACTTGCACTCTTACCTGGCTAAATTATACTAGTCTTTTCTTGTTTAATGATTAGATTATACTAGTCTTTTCTGGTTGAATGACTAGATTATAGATGGATACATTTGTTGAATGACTAGGTTATACTAGTCCTTTCTTGTTGAATGACTAGATTATAGATGGATATTTTTGTTGAATGACTAGATTATAGATGGATATATTTGTTGAATGACTAGATTATAGATGGATGTTCTTGTTGAATGACTAGATTATAGATGGATATATTTGTTAAGATAGATTATAGATGGATATACTTGTTGAATGAATATATTATAGATGATATACTTGTTGAATAACTAGATTATAGGTGCATGTTTTTCTTGAATGACTAGATTATAGATATATATCTTAGTTTAATGACTAGATTACAGATAGATATATTTGTTAAATGACTAGTATGAATGGATATATTTGTTGAATGACTAGATTATAGATGGATGTTCTTGTTGAATGACTAGATTATAGATGGATATATTTGTTAAGATAGATTATAGATGGATATACTTGTTGAATGAATATATTATAGATGATATACTTGTTGAATAACTAGATTATAGGTGCATGTTTTTCTTGAATGACTAGATTATAGATATATATCTTAGTTTAATGACTAGATTACAGATAGATATATTTGTTAAATGACTAGTATGAATGGATATATTTGTTGAATGACTAGATTATAGATGGATGTTCTTGTTGAATGACGAGATTATAGATGGATATATTTGTTGAATGACTAGATTTTAGATAGAAGTTCTTGTTGAATGACTAGATTATAGATGGATATTTTGTTGAATGAGATTTTATATATATATATATGTGTGTGTGTGCGCGCGCGCGCACGTGTGTGTGTGTGTGTGTGTGTGCGCATGCGCGCACGTGTGTGTGTGTGTGCAGGCGCGGGCGGGCGTGCACACATATACTACTATCTTTACCTGAAATGTGTTGCTCTGGCTCAGTCTGGTGAAATTGGAAAGAAAGTTAGTTAGTCAACAGATTATCCTTATTGCATGTCGAATCACTCAGGCCGTAAGTGCTTGGATCCCCTCCTTAGTCAACAGATTATCCTGATTGCATGTGGAATCACTCAGGCCGTAAGTGCTTGGATCCCCTCCTTAGTCAACAGATTATCCTGATTGCATGTGGAATCACTCAGGCCGTAAGTGCTTGGATCCCCTCCTTAGTCAACAGATTATCCTGATTGCATGTGGAATCACTCAGGCCGTAAGTGCTTGGATCCCCTCCTTAGTCAACAGATTATCCTGATTGCATGTGGAATCACTCAGGCCGTAAGTGCTTGGATCCCCTCCTTAGTCAACAGATTATCCTGATTGCATGTGGAATCACTCAGGCCGTAAGTGCTTGGATCCCCTCCTTAGTCAACAGATTATCCTGATTGCATGTGGAATCACTCAGGCCGTAAGTGCTTGGATCCCCTCCTTAGTCAACAGATTATCCTGATTGCATGTGGAATCACTCAGGCCGTAAGTGCTTGGATCCCCTCCTTAGTCACAGATTATCCTGATTGCATGTGAATCACTCAGGCCGTAAGTGCTTGGATCCCCTCCTTAGTCAACAGATTATCCTGATTGCATGTGGAATCACTCAGGCCGTAAGTGCTTGGATCCCCTCCTTAGTCAACAGATTATCCTGATTGCATGTGGAATCACTCAGGCCGTAAGTGCTTGGATCCCCTCCTTAGTCAACAGATTATCCTGATTGCATGTGGAATCACTCAGGCCGTAAGTGCTTGGATCCCCTCCTTAGTCAACAGATTATCCTGATTGCATGTGGAATCACTCAGGCCGTAAGTGCTTGGATCCCCTCCTGAGTCAACAGATTATCCTTATTGCATGTGGAATCACTCAGGCCGTAAGTGCTTGGATCCCCTCCTGAGTCAACAGATTATCCTGATTGCATGTGGAATCACTCAGGCCGTAAGTGCTTGGATCCCCTCCTTAGTCAGTCCTGCAGCCTTAAGTGGCTGATGACACCAGTTTTGTGTTGGTTTATTATTATTATTTGGTTACCCCCGTAGTGTTCTTGTTTGGGGACACTCCCATTTAACTTGTAGTCTGATCATTTTTACAGAATCACAGTTCTCAATTGGTTCACGCTAACGTCTTAAATCTTGTAGAGCATTCTGTATGTCAGCCTGGTCCATGGCTTGTCTGACTTTCACAGTAGCCTTACTTGCAAGTCTATTAGCTTGCTCCCCCCACAATGTCCTGCACACGAAAATGAAACTCATCCTTGTCAGTCGTGAATGCTGTAGAGCCACCATCTATTGTCTTCAGACCCAGCCCTTCTTTGTCTTCCTGAGTATACTCATCAAGTCACTGATGGAAAAGAAAGTAAATAGAACGCAAATATATAATAGGGTTAATATCACAATAAGTCTGCGCAGATATACAGACTGTCTAATTTGCCGACTCTAGAACACGCAGCATGTAAGTGTCTTCATAGTAGTGGTGGTTTAAATTGTATTCTAAGGGCTAAACTCTTTCAGATCAAATTTTTTTCTGGGGTTTGGACAACATTAATTTTGAGCGGAATTTTTTTACTGCAACACGACAAAGCTAAAACCTTCCTGAATGAAAAAGTATATATCAGAACATATAATTTATCAGATTAAAGATAAATGAGGGCAGAATAAGTCTAAAATATTTAAATATCTGTATTACAACAAAATATTTTTAAAATCCCACAACAATCAAGGATGTTAAAGACACATATGAAGATTATTTACATAAAAAATTGTGTGCTTACCTTGCGTTTTTACTTGTTCAGCAACATGGCTATCCAATTCTCAGAATTTATGTGCTATCTCTGTTCAGTTATGTATCAGCAAGTCTTTATTTGAAACAATTAATTTAAATTCTTTGGATGTTATGATCATTTTTGTATGACATATCAGTTTTCATAACAACTAAAAATTTTGAAAACAGCTGATCGAAACAGATGATCCAGTAAGTTTGTCACTTAGATATCAGTCATAGTATCAAGACTATTGTCACCATCTGGCAGAGATCTATCAATGACAGAACAGTATGAACTGTCACCAAGGTCATCTTTCAACGTAAATAACAACTTGCCTTATGAAGGCGGCTTTGAAGAAAAAAATTGGATTGTCAGAAAACAAAACCAAGATGCGGATGTGACGGTCACTGGAGCTATGTAGTTCATGACTTGTGCAACTCTTAAATAAAAACGCGCATATTCGAATGCACCGTTGTATGAAATTTTCAGAGTAATCGGTGAAGACCTTTGGGCAAGCTTCATGCAGAGGTATAAGGTCAGCAGTCAAAGGTCACCCACATGCGCACTAAAAACAATTCCTGGCCGGCAACAAAACAAAAACTGATGTGATTGTTGCTGTAACTATGTAGTTCATGGTTTGTGCGACACTATTACATAAAAACAAATGTGCAGTCAAATACAACGTTGTGTGAACATTTGAAATCAATTGGTGAAGTAAAGGACTCTTTTTCATGCCTTAAGGGGTATTGGGCATATAGGGCTAGTCCAATTGGCAGTAAGTGGATGAAGTGGTCAGGATCACGCCAGTCACCATTGCTTTCCAAGACTCAATCTGGAATCTGTTCAAGGCTGGGTTAACCTGGAAGCCAAGGTCTTGTTTTTTTTACCATCAGGATCTGAACTCACTACCTTCTGATCCGCAGGTGAGGCGTCTAGCCGCTATACCACTGTGGCTCCCCATATATATAATATTGGTTTCATTAAAAACAGATATCTGACTTATTAGAGTCAGCTGTCTAATTGGTTGTTACTTCAAAGGAAATGATTTCATTGGGTTTTACATCAAAGACAATTCTTTGATTGGCTGGATTGTTGAGAACAGATGTCTGACACCCTAGGGGCAACAGTTTGATTGGTTATTAAGGTCACAGTTATTTAATCAGGTGCAACATTTGTACCCGAGTTTACTGATATATATCTGCTACACATTCTCTGTAGGATCCTGCTTGTACGAGCGACACCTCTGGTAATGGTGAGGATTCACAGGTAGACTTGAGGCTTTCCCTTGACTCCCGCTTGACTCCAGTCCCTGCCACACACTTGCCCCCTAATTGTCCTGTTACATGTCTGTTGTATCAATTGTGTTCACATGTTCATGTTATATGAAAAACATTATGTGCGAATATTGTTTATAAATTAAGAGAAAAATTGTGATCATTACCTATACATCGTTAGGGACATCAGTGAAGTTATCTTACACAATCGACATACACTGCTAGTCACTGACTCTTGACTCCCACTGTGTAGATGTATGTCTGTGATGTGAAATCTGGGGACAGTTGACATACACTGCTAGTCACTGACTCTTGACTCCCACTGTGTGGATGTACGTCTGTGATGTGAAATCTGGGGACAGTCAACATACACTGCTAGTCACTGACTCTTGACTCTCGCTGTGTGGATGTACGTCTGTGATGTGAAATCTGGTGGCAGTCAACATACACTGCTAGTCACTGACTCTTGACTCCCACTGTGTCGATGTATGTCTGTGATGTGAAATCTGGGGGCAGTCAACATACACTGCTAGTCACTGACTCTTGACTCCCACTGTGTAGATGTATGTCTGTGATGTGAAATCTGGGGGCAGTCGACATACACTGCTAGTCACTGACTCTTGACTCCCACTGTGTAGATGTATGTCTGTGATGTGAAATCTGGGGGCAGTCAACATACACTGCTAGTCACTGACTCTTGACTCCCACTGTGTAGATGTATGTCTGTGATGTGAAATCAGGGGACAGTCGACATACACTGCTAGTCACTGACTCTTGACTCCCACTGTGTAGATGTACGTCTGTGATGTGAAATCTGGGGACAGTTGACATACACTGCTAGTCACTGACTCTTGACTCTCGCTGTGTGGATATACGTCTGTGATGTGAAATCTGGGGACAGTTGACATACACTGCTA